ATATGGACATAGACAATATATGGTCAGTGTCTTAAAATATAACCAGTATTTGGGTGAGGGTGAAGAAAGACAAAAGAGGTGAGCCACTTTTTTCTTTCTGTCCTGAGCCAAAATGCAGCTTATATTTTATGGCACTGACCATGTATTCTATTTATCCTGCAACACTGTTTGAAAATCAGACCATCAAAACCTGAACAGTTGTGTTGTTCAATCTGTGTTTACTTGTTGTTAACATTATGCTGAATCATGCTGAAAATACTGCTCCATGCAGAAATAAAGCTCCAAACTTCATCGGATGTGACAGGGATTTCATGAATTTTCTTGGATAACATTATTCATTAATATTTATATATATCAGTTATTTTTATTGTTAAACATAATTTTTAAGTAATTTAAGAAAATAAATCTGTCAATTTTATGCACATACTAAAATACAGCTGCTTTCGGTGACTGACGAATATAATAAAAATATACAAGGCAGGTATATTCCGACAATGGAAGCGCAAGTTGCAGGATAAAGATATTATACATACAGTTTTTACTGGTGTAATAATAGATATCGTCTTCATCAAAATACTTCACGTAATGACTAGATATGATAAAGAAGTAAAACATTTACACAATCTGAGAGTAACAGACATTGTCATATCATGTCAAAAATACTGCATAAATACATTTTTGCATAATTAGTTTTTTTTTCAATTTTCCTTCTGGAATAACAACTGTATCCAAGACTAGGAACATCTTAATAAATTGGCACAAATTAAAGAGTACAACAAAAACAATTCTTGTAAGATACTGTACCTGTATACAACACATTGTATGTAGATCAAGGGAATCTTAAGTATGCATTCAAGTGATGGATTATGACTGAAATTCAGGTCTGATGAAATACTGTTTTTACCGTCAACCCAAGTAAAACAGATATGCAATATTTAATATAATAATCTGGCTTTTCATGCACATAAGATCAAACATTGTTAACAAAATCTTCATAATACAGGCAAACATGCATTTAAGGTCACCTACTTATCACAAACACCTGTCTATAATGATCACCTCCTTGTAGCAAACACCTGTCTGTAAAGACCACCTCCTTATAACAAACACCTGTCTATAAAGATCACCTCCTTATAGCAAACACCTGTCTTTTAATCCAACATATTACAGTCTCTTGTTTCAGTATCCAAATATAGACAAAGGTCTCTTTTCTTCCTTGTTAGGCCTTTATGGAGGTGTTTGACCATATCATAAACCTCTATAATTTTCATACAATATGATACCATTAAAATATGTTAAATATCCACAATCAAAATTTCAATCAAAACATTCATGATGTGTTATTACACATAACGGGTACTGGTGGTTTTTAAACTATCAATCGTTACAGGGAAGAATTTTCTCTTCCAAAGGATAAGAAGCCCAGAGAATGGGGTGTGTCTCAGAAGAAGTGGGTGTGTCATCTGTGTGTTCATTGAACAGAGATTTACAGATGCATCAAGAAAAGAAATATTCATTATTACTAATCTGGTTTGAAATCAAAATAAAGCAGCTCATCATCTGTAAGCACTTTCCTCAATTATCATGTGATGATTGACTGATCAAAGTGAAAATTACCTTGTTTATCTTATTTGAAGAAAGTGATCTTTTCTCAGACCATCAAGTCTGCAAGTACTGTCAGAAAAGAAAGTTTATTCATTTTGAACTTGATCAACCAATGAGAAATAATGTTATTTTGTATGAATTAAGTGGCTACTTTCAAAAAAGTGACTTCTTCCTTTGATATAAAAAGCAATCCCAAGGAGAATTCCATACAAGACTGATTGGTGGAGACAATAAAAGAGGCAAAAATCACTCTCTAAAAAGTTGAATCAAACTTCTTTTTCAACAAAAGCAAATGTTTGGATTATGATTACTAAACCCACTAAGTATTAAAAACAAGAGGCCCAGAGGGCCTGTTACGCTCATCCGGATCTTTATGACCAATATACTATATCTGTGCCACAGTATATGCTTAAAGCAATATGACAAAGTACTCCATATGGGTTCTGTCCCTTAGTAGTCAGCCCCCTCACCTGTTCAATGTTGAATTGAGACTTTTTATGATGTCTCCAGTTAAATATAATTGATAGCTTTCTTCTAAATCAAGGAAAGTAGATGGTAAAACAATATAGCAGAAAAACTCCTAGTTATAGCTGGACGGATGACCCAGGACAGCAGAAGCTTACTTGCCCTTTAGATCATTGTTCACAAACACAGATACAACATGTTTGAGACTTGCACAAGTCAACAATATATAGCAAGGATTAAATATAAAGACAGGAAAAATTAAGGTACATGTAATTATAAATCATAATCCTAACTCAAAACCAATAATAAAACGTTTTATGCATATCATTAGTGATGTCACCATGGTCAGTTAGGCCCCGGTTACTGGAGATATACTGATAACAGTTTACTGTAGCCTATAAACACTGCATAGCAAACGGGATCAACTTAGAATTTCTTATTTATTTATGCTATAATTATGAAGAAATTTAAATCAAAATGAAGCTCTTGCAATTCTCTTTCCGATCATGTTTCCTGTATTGTAATGCTGTGAATAGAACATAAGTCATTGGCTAACATGTAGTTTTTTACATTAATTAGCTCAAGACTCTCAGACCTCCCGAGGGCTTGGCCTAATCTATTTTTTGGAACAGTGTGACATCACTGTGAAAGGTCTTTATAATTCATTCCAAATTATGCCAAGAAAATTCTCAGCCAAATATATTCCTTTGATAAGTCATTGGAAGGTTCTACATATATGTATATAGGCCTTGGTGAAACTTTTACTGGCATAATATGATAGCCTTTGGTCAATTAGAAGTTGTTAATGCTTTTACCAAATTTAACCCCAGTGACCTTAGATGTTTTTATGGGTCAAGCTATTTTTTCACACACTATGTGGGCACCATAAAGGGAACCTTTTGGCCAAATATTATGAATTTAGGCCTTTTGGTTAAGCAGAAGTTGTTCAAAGGTTTAACGCTGTTGTGACCTTGAATATTGGTCAAGGTCATTTCTTTTCTTAAATATCATAGGGCATTATTGAGAACCTAATTTGGCATAATGTCACTATCCAAGATATTTGGTTAGTCAGAAAAAGTTGTTTAAAGGTTTTAACACATTTGACATCTGTGACCTTGAATATAGGTCAAGGTAATTTCTTTTTGCAAACTTTCTTGGACTTCATAAAAGGAACATACTGGCCAAATATAATGATTCCAGGCTTTTCGATATTTCAGAAGGAAATTGTTTAAACGTTTTAACACATTTGACCCCTGTGACCTTGAAGATTGGTCAAGGTCATTTCTTATAGCAAACTTTGTAGGACACCATAAGAGGAACAAAGAAGCCTAATATAATGATTCTAGGCCTTGCAGTATTTGGGGAGAAGTTGTTTAAAGGTTTTAATACATTTAACCTCAGTGACCTTGAATATGGGTCAAAGTAATTTCTTTTCCAAACTTTGTTGGGCTTCATCAAAAGAACCTTCCAGCAATATATAATGTTTCTAGGCCTCCCGATATTTTGGAAGAATTTGCTTAAAGTTTTTAACACATTTAACCTCTGTGACCTTGACTTTTCCTTTCACAAACTTTGTTAAGCTTCATCAAAGGAAACTTCCAGCAATATGTAATGATTCAAGGCCTTCCTGTATTTTGGAAGAAGTCGTTTAAAGGTTTTACCATATTTGACCTCTGTGACCTGGAATAAGGGAAAAGGTCATTTCTTTTCACAAACTTTGTTGGGCTTTATCAAAGGAATCTTCCAGCCAAATATAATGATTCTAGGCCTTCCGGTATTTCAGAAAAAGTTGTTCAAATGAAAAGTTGACGGACACAGGCAGGACGGACGACTGACAGATGATGGACGTTGAACAACGGACAGACTGACGCCACGCTTTGGCATAAAAAGCATTCAAAACAAAGAGAAAATATCTCTGGATCAAAAACCAATGCCATATCATAATTTATCAGGTCTATAATTTTAGTGGGTATATAAAAATAACATTTTTTAACTTGAAAATTCTGATTAAGGTATTTACAAGAGATTTTAATATGCATTTATTTTACATCAACTGTAGGAATTAAGACTAAAGAAATAGCACCAACAATCATTCTAAAAAAACAAAAACCTATATTCACCAAACACAATTATACCCTTGTTTTGATATATAATCTTGACCTTGATTTTGACCAGCTATACAAAGCCCAATTAAGCTACATGTGATGGCTGTCCTATCCTAGCTACATGTGATGGCTGTCCTATCCTAGCTACATGTGATGGCTGTCCTATCCTAGCTACATGTGATGGCTGTCCTATCCTAGCTACATGTGATGGCTGTCCTATCCTAGCATGCACAGTCGAAAAAAGAATAATTGTTTAAATCACTTCTACTTCACACATGCTTGTCATCTTAGAGAACATGAAATCTGTTTCTGATTAAAAACTCTAAGCTGACATTACAGACGAGAGATTATAAATGGAGTACCATATTTATTGTGTGGTAAGTCCAGTCTATTCATCACTTCTTCGTTAAGTCACAGGGTGTGCTTATCAAATTACACTGGTCTATCATTGTTTTCAACAGAAATATATATGATGGACTTATTGATGGATAAATACAGTAATATGTCAAATACCAATTTTCTATTCAGAAACAATGCATTCTACTGACAGTAATAACATTTATATATTCTACCTGAATATCTAAATCATTCTGATAATTTTCTAAAATTTCAGTCATCACAAACAGTTGTGATATTAAGTAGCATTGTTTTTAGGAGGTTTTGGTAGAGATATTTCAGGAGAAGGACACAGGTTATGATATGAAGAAATCTATTTGTTTCATAACAATATTAATGGAAGTAAGTAAATATACATGTTAACAACTTAATGAAACAAACATATACAAACATTGCACAAAGGTTAAGGCTGATCATCAAGTCAGTGGATCAATCTCCTTCAAGGTCACAATCAATCACCGTTCCCAGATACTGTTTGAAACTTTGGTTAGACAAATCCACAGAAATTCTGTCTCCACTAGTTGCATCCGAACTATCTCTTTTCACTTCCACACTTCCATTTGACAAGTTCATAGAAATTCTATCTCCATTATCAGTACCCAAACCTTCTTTACTTGTTTTCGCAAAACTCAAATCCGCTAGGTCAACAGACTGCACACAACATTTTGAGGTACATGAATCATCTTTGTATGTTTCCTCTTTCTTTATTTTTAAATTTTCAAAACTGCACAGGATCTTTTGGTCAGGTGTGATATTCTGATCTACAGGTATACTTGTATCATCTATGGGTACAAAACTCAAATCTGTGGAGTCACTGTCAGCCATTACTTGATGGAATTTCAAATCTTTTTGTATTTCAGTACTGGATTCAAAGCTCTGATCTATTAAAACATTTCTAGACATATCAGAGCTTTGAGCAAATGGCTCAAATCTTTGATCTGACTGGTCTGTTGAGATATTTCTGGAAAATCCTGGATTTTCGTCACTACTTAGGACATCGCTATTGAGGATGGAATCCTCCTCCATGGATGAGTTTGGTGGTTCAGAATCAACACCACCCTCTTCACACTCCTTGTCCTTAGGCAATACCACAAAACTTAGATCTGGTTCTTCAATGCTTCCTCCTAAACTCCTTTGTTCTTTGTCTGCTGGGAGGTTTATATTTCGTACAACATCTGAACTGGTATCTACCTCGCTGTCACTACTGGTGAAACTGTCGCAACTGTCTTCATGAAGCAGAGGCTCCCCAGAACGTTTGGAAGGAAGTTTAACATCACCCTTGGTTCGGACCCCAACAACTTTCATAATGACATCTAGCTGCTTCAGGTAGTCTTTATGGCCATTCACCTGGGCAATAAAACATTTAACATTGATAAATGATCAAATGTCCATCAATGGCAGAATAACAAATCTAAGATAACACATTTTATCAGAGTATTTCCTTGTCCAATAGATACAAAGTTTACACAGACTGACAATACACAATGTCCAATTCACAATCTAACATCACAAGGTTTATTGCAACATCATAAACCAATGACATAAATAACATGAGCTTATTGGAGGTCTGCTCTTAACAAAATTTTCTTCTCTTAGATTTTCTCTGCTGACTTTTGCTTAATTTGATAAAAGTGTCACTGAACTTATGACATGAATAAATTGAAATGCAGGACACAAAAATGTCATACATCATGGTATGGGTGCCACATCAAACGTTACATTATATATCCTAGTGTGTTTTCTGTCACTCTATCATAACTTACCACATCACTGAGATCGATGTTGTGCATGCGACGGTTATCCCATTTAATGGGGCTAAGCCCGGCAACCGTTGTTAAATGGACAGATGCAGTGCGGAACAGGAACTTCAGTAGCCAATCACCTCTAATCATCAATAAAACAAGAGATTAATATCAGATATATAGTTTTTAAAAAACAAGGACCTAAATTGAGTTTCTATTTATATGCAAGTTGCGGAATGAGACTTTGAATTTTTCATTTTCTCAGCTTCTGGTTAAGAACAATGAAAACTTGATTTACGATTTCATAAATCTCATATGAACCTAAAAGAAACATAAGATTCTAGTTGGGCAGGTTGTGCCATGGTAGCGCACTCGCCTTTCAACTACCTATCCGGTGTTTAGTTCCCAGAATGGGAAAGGTATGGGTCACCTGCTTGACCACATGGGTTTTTCCCAAGTACTCCCACAGTAAAACCCCTCGCACCCTTCCATCTGGGCCACCAAGATATAAGTTGGTAAACTCTTCACCCATTATATTTTCACAAATAATATTACACGTGTAATATAGCTTATTGCGATGTCACATTCACAGACAGGAACTTTTAACATAACAATGGAGATCATATATACAAATAGCAATGAGCAACACAAGAAAAGTTTTACTAAAAGAAGGTGGTAAGTTTATTGACAACTGAAAACCTTTGTAAGCATTTTTACAGAAATACAACAGACATGTTAACGAACATGGTCTAATCATTCATGGATGAATAGAGGAAGTGAGTACTAATAATGACAACTTATTCTTAAAGACACTTTTACCTGACACACCCCAACAGTTGGGTCTAACACTTTCCGTCCATGATGAGTTCACAAAGTTATAGACATTTTTACCTGACAAACTCTGACTGCCTTATCAAATACTTCCTGTCTGTTACATAGGTAAGTATTTTTACCTGCAATACCCATTGATGATTTTCCCTCCAACAACTCGTGTTAAACCACACCAAAGTTTGGGGTCACCTGACACCGGGGCCCCCAGTAGTATAGCATCTTCTATGATGCCCTCACATCCTGCAGGTAAGAAATGAACATGCTGATTTTTAGGTGAACCTCTCTTTAGAATTGTTTCTTGTTGCTTTACATCCTAGTAACAGCCAGGGTCATTAACGGACGTGCCAGGTTTAGGTGGTGAAGGCAAGCTGGAGTTCTTGGAGAAAACCACCAACCCGCCATCAGTTTTTGGCAAATGCATAAGTCTTAAACCCACAGGTAGAGAGTTAAAGTGGTAAAAATGAACAGATGCTTTAACCACTCAACCACTGTGACCCCTTTTCATAATAATAAAATATAGACTGTATCACACATCATGATCAAACTTACATTTATATGTATAACAAATAATTTGTACATGATCTTCATTAGAAGTACTGATAATTGTTTTAACACTGACATTATGACCTTTCATCATTAACCTGTTACAGTAGTATCCTAACATTCACTGTAAAACCTTGTTAACTTATTAAACTGTCTGTATTGCTGTGAGTATATGTTATCATCACTGACACCGATCCCCCTGAGTGCAATCTCTTTTAAAGTAATTGAAGTAATCTATTTAACACCTCTGTTAACCACTAGTGTTGTTTCAAGAACACACTTGGGGCACATTATGTTAAAAACCTAGCTTTACTACTTTTCTACTACTATTATTTAGCATTTCCACTATTTCAGTTTATCTGATAGACACAAATAAAAGTTATTTTCAACTGAACAATATGTCAGATTATTCTGATGTGAATATTTCTGAGTCAACAACCACATATACATCTGCTGTTTTTATAGCTTTTTTATGTGAAGTAGTGTTCAAAAAATCTAAGTTGAAACTGTCATTCCATTTTATTTATCCATGTGACGAAAATGTTTTCATTTGCTTTTAGAAGAATGCATTGCAATGAAAATCCAGGCAATTTCAGTGTAAACTGCACATTTGGGGAATATACCTTAACTATTACATAATTTCTATTGGGATAGGGCTCATTATTGGACAAAAGATCCCCATGAGAGATCTTGGTGTCAACCATTGTTTGATCTTTAAAAGTTTAAACTTTTTCCTTCTTTTCTATTCTCTCCTTTTGCTTTCAATGATACAAAATTTGTTATTACCAAAACAATTGTGGTTACCTATCAACCATTTCCTCTTTGTGATCAACCAGGCACAACGAGGGGAGGAAACTCTTACATATGATATTTGAGAAACATCCATCCTGTACTCCATATAAAATAGTAATAACAAACTTTACTAGGCAAAACCCAAGATGGCCACTTGTCAGCCTTTTGTTTTTTTCTATTAGTACCATAATCAAATAGGTAATAGGAAATATGTGAAAAATCCATCTAACACTTCTCTTAAAATAGCGATAACAATCTTTCAAAAGTCAAAATCAAAAATGGCAGCCTCTTGGCCATATCATTTCTCTGATAAGTCCCAAAATCAAATGGGCACAACAAGGGAAACATACATATTAAATTTGAGAAATATCCATCTTGTCCTTCTCAAAAAAATAGCTACATCAAAAAATTGTTTATAGATGAACACATAGATGACAGACCATGGATGAAGGGCAATTTGAATCAAATAGTGGGCTAAAAAAATCCTGTAGTATATCATGATAGAAACCTCACTAGGCATTTACTACCTTTTCAACTTTATTTTTTTAAGAGTACCTTTAAGAAAGAAAAATATAGTATGTGTTGGAGTAAGTGACATTTTACTAGGCACTGACTAAGTATTGAAACATAGAGTATAGAAGTATGTACCTTTCCTTTTGGAGAGTTCCTCTAAACAAGAGAAGACAACTCTGGCACCAAGACTGAATCCTATGAGAGTGACTGGCCGCTGTCCCTATAAATTAATGATCAGTAATATAGTTACCATATTTTGTCTAGTGTGCCCCACTACTCTGTCAATGTTAACTTGACAAAATTATGGCTATCACACCGTGAGACAAAATTTAGGTAGAAAATATTAGAGATTTTCCCTTCCTCCAGGAGGTATGGCATGTATGGTGTCAAGATGTTTCATTAAGAAATAATAGGCCAAGGATCAATCATGTTCTACACCTGAAAGTCAAAATGTGACATTGAATTTGATCACTGCCTATATCTAAAATATCATCTACAACTTGTTAATTATCCTCATGGTTGTATGATGTATCAAACCACATTCAATCATTCTAAGTTAGCAAAGAGGGTAAAAATTTCCACTACAGAAAAAAACATACAATGTATACAAACAAGAGGCCCAGGGACCTTAATGGTCATCTGAATACAAAAACTTTCAGCAGGGAGAAGGGTTGTTTTTTCTACTTTGAATGAAATCTTACAAAGAAGTTGTTTTCCATGATGCAGATGGTAGTTTTGGTGAGGAGAAGGTAACTGTAACAAGTGTAACCTATTTTTTGACAGTAAAGTTGGAGCTAAATCCCACTGGTGAAACTTTTTTAAATAGGTGTTGCACAGGAAAACCATGATTGTGCAATCATGTTATGAAATGGCCTCCTCATCTGCTTTGTCAAAGTTTGGACAAGGTTGAAAAAACACTTTGTTGGCTATCTTTCCTTAACATTCCCACCACTTTTCAGCTCAATGGCACCAGTGGGCCAGGAGAAGAAATTTAAAAAAAGTTTTTCAAGATGGCGGCCATGGCAGCCATCTAGGATTTCAGACACACCAAAAAAATAACAACACTTGGTAAGGACCATCTCAGGATCAGTTCATGCATGTTTGAGCTCAATCCCACTGGTGGAATTTGAGAAGAAGTTTGAAATTCTAAAAGTTTACGCACGGCTGACAGATAAAGCATGATGACTAGAGGACATCATGACCTCTAGGTCAGATGACATAAAAACAAAGCCAAAATATTCTTGTTCCAGATAAGAGCAGACACCTTTATACCTGTTCTCTTGCAAGTAGCACCTCTGCAAGTTCTCGTCCCACAGCTGTTGCTCGCTGTATACATACACTCCATGGATTGTCAATCACACTCGCCATGGAAACCAGAGTTGCTGGCCAGGTGATAGCAGACATTATACCTGTAAAGCAAGCTATTGTTATTGTCGAAACTCAGAAACACCAAGATAATATGAAAAATAAAAAGGTAACTGCAACTTAAAACCAATAATGGCAAAATGTGAATTTAGAAAAAGTTTACATCAAGACCACTGTAAAGGAGAAAAGAAGATGTTTTTAAAAATTTGACAGTTAGTATACTAAGACCAGGTATTTAATAGGGCTGGACAACTAACAGAATAAGACCAGGTATTTAGTGGGGCTGGACAACTAACAGAATAAGACCAGGTATTTAGTGGGGCTGGACAACTAACAGAATAAGACCAGGTATTTAGTGAGGCTGGACAACTAACATAATAAAACCAGGTATTAAGTAGAGCTGGACAACTAACAGAATAAGACCAGGCCCCACTTGTATAAAACATCACAACTTGAGATTTCCTCAAGCCCAGATTTTCCTCAGCTAATATCTCCTTGAAAATATCTTGTATGAAAATTCCTCAAGGAATTTCAGGACATCCTAGCCGATGACTTCCTCCTGTTCCTTGAGAAAATTTTATACAAGCCGTTTTTGAGGAGATATCAGCTGAGGAAAATCTCGACTTGAGGAAATCTCAAGTTGAAATGTTTTATACAAGTGGGGCCAGGTATTTAGTGGGGCTGGGCAACTAACAGAATAAGACCAGGTATTTAGTGGGGCTGGACAACTAACAGAATAAGACCAGGTATTTAATAGGGCTTGACAACTAACAGAATAAGACCAGGTATTTAGTGGGGCTGGACAACTAACAGAATAAGACCAGGTATTTCGTGGGGCTGGACAACTAACAGAATAAGACCAGGTACTTAGTGGGGCTGGACAACTAACAGAATAAGACCACGTATTTAGTGGGGCTGGACAACTAACAGAATAAGACCGTGTATTTAGTAGTCCAAGCTTGTTAGATTGTATCACTTCACTGACGACACCTGTGATATAACTCTAGATCTGACTCCTACTAATGTCAATCTCATCAATGAGGACCAATTTGCATGTAATACCAACAGGCTTACAATGTTGTTAGTAATAACTAATAAATAGGTCCTTGATATACTCCTTTATCACTGAAACATACTGTAAAATCACAATTTTTCGTGGGCCCTTTTTTCATGCTTTTCGTGGACATTTGATTTTGTAAATAAACAATAGAAGTCCACACTTACTTTTACACTACAGGGACATATAAATTCATAGATTAAGATCACAAAATCAGTGGAAATATATCTCCCATAAATAATACACAATTTGACAGATGCTGGGATGAAGCCATTCACAAATATTATCATCTGTGGAAACAGGAAAAGTCACAGGAAAGTGTCAGTGTCAGGAGTCAGACTAGCAATCCTTCAACCATCTGACCAATGTTATCCTAAAGGCTTGTACACACCTATCCTGTTTATCAGAAAGCTAAGAAATGACCAATCTATGCGGATGTGATTGTGGTGCGTCCTTGCCCTAATTGCTACTGATGATGAGCCTCCTATACATTGTTAAGTGAGGTACCCACCACTTACTTCTATAATGAGTCCTGCCTCAAAATCACCCTGAGTGTTGTTCATGGCATGATAAACCCACCAAGCAAACACACAAACAATGAAGGGCTGACATTTTCTAACCTGAGAGTACTGTGTATTTGAGGGCCTCCTGCGTGGCTACAGACATAGCACCCCCTAAGAGGTAGTCAAGAGCTCGTCCAAGTTGTATCAAGTACTTGGACTCCCAACGAAGGCTGTACTGTTCCCGAGATTCAGCAAGTGAATACCAAGGATACCGAAAATCTGCAAATGAATGTCTCATTTAATTTCCATTTGTATCTAAAATAAAACAAGAGGCCCAGGGACCTTAATGGTCATCTGACTACAAAAACTTTCAGCAGGGAGGAAGGATATTTTTCTACTTTGTGAAATCTTACTAAGAAGCTGTTTTCCATGATGCAGATGGTAGTTTTGGTGAGGAGAAGGTAACTGTGTTACCTATTTTTTGACAGTAACGTTGGAGCTCAATCCCATTGGTGAAACTTGAGAAGAAGTTTGAAATAGGTGTTACACATGAAAACCATGATTGTGCAACCATGTTATTAAAAGGCCTCCCATGCTGTTGTATCATAGTTTTGACAAGGTTGAAAAAATAACAACATATTACCAACAACTTTTAGCTCAATGGCACCAGTGGAACTGGAGAAGAAATTTAAAATATGTTTTTCAAGATAGCGGCCATGGCAACAACACTTTGTCAAGAACATCTCAAGATAATTTCAGACAAGTTGGAGCTCAATCCCACTTGTGGAATTTGAGAAGAAGTTTAAAAAGTCAAAAGTTTACGCACGACCAACAGCACATGGCCAACGGCGCACGGCTAACGACAATGGACCAAGTACAATGTCTATAAGTTATCACGACCCTTCAGGTCAGATTATTACCATGACTTCATCCGTTATCTATCTAATTATCAAGAATTTTAATCACAGATTTAAATATGAAAACTTTTCAACTGATAATGAAATGATTTAATATCTGCCATTTTCTTTAGGATTTCAAATCCATGTAGATATTCAGTTCTTTAATAACCCAGGAAATAACTATAACCATGTACATGTTGGTGGTTTTAAATTCTTTTTGTTTCTTGGCTTATATCCTAAAGACTTTTCACAAGTGCTGCTTTGACCAAACAAATCCACAATTCAGAAGAAATATGATGATATTTTTCCCCAGCTATAACAATAAATGATGAATACCAACATTAAACATCCATACCCGTCATAGAAGTGGAAAGCCATCCTGACACAGCTATAGTAATATGTAACTGTTTAGCAGGATGAGGATCCACCTTAAGTCGTGTACCAAATACCAAAGGCTCAAACTCAAATTCTTCAACTGCACCCACTCGTTTTTTCATCTTGTATCCTGAGAAAATACAACAAGCCAAAACATCTATTACAATCAACAATTATCCTCCACCGATTATGTTTATCAAACAAATATATTGCAAATTCCATATCCTACCCCTCTATATTGACCTGTTATTCCAGTCCCTCTATACTGACCTGTTATTCCAGTACCTCTATACTGACCTGTAAGTCCAGTCCCTATATACTGACTTGTAAGTCCAGTCCCTCTATACTGACCTGTAAGTCCAGTCCCTCTATACTGACCTGTATGTCCAGCCTCTCTATACTGACCTGTAAGTCCAGTCCCTATATACTGACTTGTAAGTCCAGTCCCTCTATACTGACCTGTAAGTCCAGTCCCTCTATACTGACCTGTATGTCCAGCCTCTCTATACTGACCTGTAAGTCCAGTCGCTATATACTGACTTGTAAGTCCAGTCCCTATATACTGACTTGTAAGTCCAGTCCCTGTATACTGACCTGTAAGTCCAGTCCCTATATACTGACTTGTAAGTCCAGTCCCTCTATACTGACCTGTAAGTCCAGCCCTGTATACTGATCTGTAAGTACAGTCCATCTATACTGACTTGTAAGTCCAGTCCCTCTCTACTGACCTGTAAGTCCAGCCCTGTTATACTGATCTGTAAGTCCAGTCCCTCTATACTGACCTGTAATTCCTGACCCTCTATACTGACCTATAAGTCCAGTCCCTCTCTACTGACCTGTAATTCCTGACCCTCTATACTGACCTGTAAGTCCAGTCCCTATCTACTGACCTGTAAGTCCAGTCCCTCTATACTGACTTGTAAGTCCAGTCCCTCTATACTGACCTGTAAGTCCAGTCCCTATATACTGACTTGTAAGTCCAGTCCCTCTATACTGACCTGTAAGTCCAGTCCTGTATACTGATCTGTAAGTACAGTCCATCTATACTGACTTGTAAGTCCAGTCCCTCTCTACTGACCTGTAAGTCCAGCCCTGTTATACTGATCTGTAAGTCCAGTCCCTCTATACTGACCTGTAATTCCTGACCCTCTATACTGACATATAAGTCCAGTCCCTCTCTACTGACCTGTAATTCCTGACCCTCTCTACTGACCTGTGAGTCGAGTCCCTCTCTACTGACTTGTAAGTCCAGTCCCTCTATACTGACCTGTAAGTCCAGTCCCTCTCTACTGACTTGTAAGTCCAGTCCCTCTCTACTAACCTGTAAGTCCAGTCCCTCTCTACTGACCTGTAAGTCCAGTCCCTCTCTACTGACCTGTAAGTCCAGTCCCTCTCTACTGACTTGTAAGTCCAGTCCCTCTCTACTGACTTGTAAGTCCAGTCCCTCTCTAATGACCTATAAGTCCAGCCCCTCTATACTGACCTATAAGTCCAGCCCCTCTATACTGACCTGTAAGTCCAGTCCCTCTATACTGACCTGTAAGTCCAGTCCCTCTCTACTGACTTGTAAGTCCAGTCCCTCTCTACTGACCTGTAAGTCCAGTCCCTCTCTACTGACTTGTAAGTCCAGTCCCTCTCTACTAACCTGTAAGTCCAGTCCCTCTCTACTGACCTGTAAGTCCAGTCCCTCTCTACTGACCTGTAAGTCCAGTCCCTCTCTACTGACCTGTGAGTCGAGTCCCTCTCTACTGACTTGTAAGTCCAGTCCCTCTCTACTGACCTGTAAGTCCAGTCCCTCTCTACTGACCTGTGAGTCGAGTCCCTCTCTACTGACTTGTAAGTCCAGTCCCTCTCTACTGACCTATAAGTCCAGTCCCTCTCTACTGACCTATAAGTCCAGTCCCTCTCTACTGACCTATAAGTCCAGTCCCTCTCTACTGACTTGTAAGTCCAGTCCCTCTCTACTGACCTATAAGTCCAGTCCCTCTCTACTGACCTATAAGTCCAGTCCCTCTCTACTGACCTATAAGTCCAGTCCCTCTCTACTGACCAGTAAGTCCAGTCCCTCTCTACTGACCTATAAGTCCAGCCCCTCTATACTGACCTATAAGTCCAGTCCCTCTCTACTGACCTATAAGTCCAGCCCCTCTATACTGACCTATAAGTCCAGCCCCTATCTACTGACCTGTAAGTCCAGCTCCTCTATACTGACCTATAAGTCCAGCCCCTCTATACTGACCTATAAGTCCATCCCCTCTCTACTGACCTATAAGTCCAGTCCCTCTATACTGACCTATAAGTCCAGCCCCTCTATACTGACCTGTAAGTCCAGCTCCTGCTACACCAAACAGGGAACCTATGATGGCCACACCTGCTGACGACCCAAGCACAGCTGCCCCAGTTCCACCAATGATAGCCCCAGCACCAGCTGCTACTAATGGAGCTGCCAGACCACCAGTCAAACCTGATTACAAGTCACTGTCACCGGTAAACTTAAAGATTCAGCTTATCTCACAGGTACAGGTAATCTTACAATTACAGGTTATTTTCACAGTTACAAGTATAATTTCATAGTTAAAGGTATAATCTCATAGCTAAAGGTATTATCTCACATATACGAGTAATCTCACAGCTACAGGTAATCTCAAAGCTACAGGTAATCTCACAGTTATAGGTAATCTTACAGTTACAGGTAATCTCACAGCTACAGGTAATCTCACAGTTATAGGTAATCTCACAGCTACAGGTAATCTCACAGTTATAGGTAATCTTACAGTTACAGGTAATCTCACAGCTACAGAGAATCTCACAGTTATAGGTAATCTCACAGTTACAGGTAATCTCACAGTTATAGGTAATCTTACAGTTACAGGTAATCTCAAAGTAACTTGTAATCTCACAGTTGCAGGTAATCTCACATTTACAGGTAATCTCAAAATTATAGGTAATCTCACAGTTACAGGTAATCTCACAGCTACAGGTAATCTCACAGTTATAGGTTATCTCAAAGATCCAGTAAATTTACATTTACAGGTAATCTCAAAGTTACAGGTAATCTCACAGTTACAGGTAATCTCACAGTTAAATGTAATCTTAAAGTTACTTGTAATCTCACAGTTACAGGTAATCTCACAGTTACAGGCAATCTCACAGTTACAGGTAATCTCACAGTTACAGGTAATCTCACAGCTACAGGTAATCTCACAGTTATAGGTTATCTCAAAGATCCAGTAAATTTACATTTACAGGTAATCTCAAAGTTACAGGTAATCTCACAGTAAAATGTAATCTCAAAGTTACTTGTAATCTCACAGTTACAGGTAATCTCACAGTTACAGGTAATCTCACAGTTAAATGTAATCTCAAAGTTACAGGTAATCTCACAGTTAAATGTAATCTCAAAGTTACTTGTAATCTCACAGTTACAGGTAATCTCACATTTACAGGTAATCTCACAGTTACAGGTAATCTCACAGCTACAAGTAATCTCACAGTTACAGGTAATCTCACAGTTAAATGTAATCTTAAAGTTACTTGTAATCTCACAGTTACAGGTAATCTCACAGTTACAGGCAATCTCACAGTTACAGGTAATCTCACAGTTACAGGTAATCTCACAGTTACAGACAATCTCACAGTTACAGGTAATCTCACAGTTATAGGTAATCTCACAGTTACAGGTAATCTCACAGTTACAGGTAATATCACAGTTACAGGTAATCTCAAAGTTATAGGTAATCTTACAGTTACAGGTAATATCACAGTTATAGGAAATATCACAGTTGCAGGTAATCTCACAGTTACAGGAATTTTCGAAGTGCCAGGTAATCTTGCAGTTAACCTGACAGGAACATTTTCTTGGTAATCATGCTGGTAGAGCCAAAAAGGTAATCTCAAAAATATCCTCATTATCTATACTTACCAATCAATGTCCCTCCTACTGTTGTAGCTAGACCAATAAGAGCAAACCGTTTGGCTTTTTCCTTTCTTGAATTTTTCTGTTTTTCTTTCTTTTCTTCCCTGTTTTACAAATATCACATACTATTAAAGACAGTGTACAGATGATATACCACTGTACAGATGACATATCACTGTACAGATGACATACCACTGTACAGATGACACAACACTGTACAGATGACATACCACTGTACAGATGACATACCACTGTGTACAGATGACATACCACTGTACAGATGACACACCACACCACTGTACAGATGACATACCACTGTACAGATGACATACCACTGTACAGATGACACACCACACCACTGTACAGATGACATAACACTGTACAGATGACATACCACTGTACAGATGACATAACACTGTACAGATGACATACCACTACATATTTCAGCTCAAACTTTGAAGCTTTAATTGATCTGATGTATAACAAACAATAGACAATGAGTAATATCAGAAATGAACAAACTGAACTATGTTTCATGATCCATCGACAAATATCATAGAATTTCATCTACATGTACGATATACATGTTTTAATCAACATGCTTTTCAATTCATTAACATTTTCAAAGATGAAATAGGATAATATGTTAAATGTAAAAACAAAAATAAGTGGTAAAATTTTGCATTCAAAAACATTGCATTTGCAGAAAACTCTCTACATGCTTATTATGCAGGGTTGGATGGATAAGGAAAAGGACACATTAAGGAGTGGGCAGTGATGGGACATATGTGGGTGTGGACAGTGACAGGACAGATGTGGGAATTGACAGTGTTGGGACAGATGTGGGAATGGACAGTGTCGGGACAGATGTGGGAATTGAGTGTTGGGACAGATGTGGGAATGGACAGTGATAGGACAGATGTTGGTGTGGACAGTGATGGGACAGATGTTGGTGTGGACGTGATGGGACAGATGTTGGTGTGCACAGTGGCAGGAAAGATGTGAGTATGGAGAGTGGCAGGACTGATGTGAGAATGGACAGTGGCAGGACACATGTGAGAATGGACAGTGGCAGGACAGATGTGGGAATGGACAGTGATGGGACAGATGTGGGTGTGGACAGTGATGGAACAGATATGAGTATGGAGAGTGGCAGGACAGATATGAGAATGGACAGTGGCAGGACAGATGTGGGAATGGACAGTAATGGGACAGATGTGGGTGTGGACAGTGGCAGGACAGATGTGGGTGTGGACAGTGACAGGACAGATGTGGGAATGGACATTGTTGGGACAGATGTGGGTGTGGACAGTGATGGGACAGGTGTGGGTGTGGACAGTATTGGGACAAATGTGAGTATGGACAGTGGCAGGACAGATGTGAGAATGGACAGGGATGGGAGAGATGTGGGTGGCGACAGTGACAGGACAGATGTGGGAGTGGACAGTTGCGGAACAGATGTGGGAGTGGACAGTGGCAGGACAGATTAGGGAGTGACAGTGGCAGGACAGATGTAGGACTGGACAGTGTTGGGACCGATGTAGGTGTGCACAGATGTGGCAGTGGACAGTGATGGGACAGGTGTGAGTGTGGACAGTGGACAGATGTGAGTATGGACAGTGGCAGGACAGATGTGAGAATGGACAGTGGACAGATGTGGGAGTGGACAATGGTGGGACAGATGTGGGTGTGGACAATGATGGAACAGATATAGGTGGGGACATTGGCAGAACAGATGTGGGTGTGGACAGTGGCAGGACAGATGTTGGTGTGGACAGTGGCAGAACAGATGTGGGAATGGACATTGATGGGACAGATATGGGTGTGGACAGTGATGGAGGACAGATGTAGGTGTGGTCAGTGGTAGGACAGAAGTGGGATTGGACAAAGGCTGGACGAAGTGGGAGTGGACAGGGGCAGGACAGATGTGGGAGTGGACAGTGGCAGGACAAATGTGAGAGTGGACAGTGGCAGGACAGATGTCGGAATGGACAGTGTTGGGATAGATGTGGGTGTGGACAGTGATGGGACAGATGTAGGAGTGTACAGTTGCGGAACAGATGTGGGAGTGGACAGTGGCAGGACAGATGTGGGAATTGACATTGATGGGACAGATATCGGTGTGGAAAGTGATGGGACAGATTTGGGTGTGGACAGTGGACAGATGTGAGATTGGACAGTGGCTGGACAGATGTGGGAGTGGACAGGGGCAGGACAGATATCGAAGTGGACAGTGGCAGGAGAGATATGGGTGTGGACATGGGACAGATGTGGGTGTGGCAGATGTGGGTGTGGGACAGTGGGAGGGTGTGTGGGGACAGATGTGGGTGGACAGTGGACAGATGTAGGTGTGCACAGTGATGGAACAGATGTGGATGTGCACATTGGCAGGACAGATGTGAGTGTGGACAGTGGCAGTACAGATGTGGCAGTGGACAGTGATGGGACAGATGAGGGTGTGGACAGATGTGGGTGTGGTGTGGACAGTGAGTGGACAGGTGGACAGTGGGAGTGTGGGACAGATGTGGGTGTGGACAGTGACAGTGGGACAGATGTGGGTGTGGACAGTGGATGGGACAGATGTGGGTGTGGACAGTGGGACAGATGTGTGGACAGTGGATGTGGGAGGGACAGTGAGGACAGATGTGGGTGTGGACAGTGGCAGGACAGATGTAGGACAGTGTGGGAGTGGACAGTGGCAGGACAGATGTGGGTGTGGACAGTTGCAGGACAGATGTTGGTGTGGACATGTGGCAGGACAGATGTGGGGTGTGGACAGTGGTGGGACAGATGTGGGAATGGACAGTGGACAGATGTGGGAGTGGACAGGACAGATGTGGGAGTGGACAGTGGCAGGACAGATGTGGGTGTGGACAGTGCAGACAGATGTGGGTGGACAGACAGATGGACAGTGGGACAGATGTGGGAGTGGACAGTGGCAGGACAGATGTGGGACTGGACAGTGTTGGGACCGATGTAGGTGTGCACAGTGATGGGACAGATGTAGGTGTGCACAGGGGCAGGACAGATGTGGATGTGAGAGTGGACAGTGACAGATGTGGGAATGGACAGTGTGGGAGTGGGTGACAGATGTGGGATGGACAGTGATGGGACAGATGTGGGTGTGGACAGTAGGACAGATGTGGGAGTGGACAGTGGCAGGACAGATGTGGGAGTGGACAGTGGCAGGACAGTGGCAGGATAGATGTGGGTGTGGTGGGACAGAGTGACAGTGATGGACAGATGTGGGTGTGGGTGTGGACAGATGTGGGTGTGGACAGTGGACAGATGTGGGAGTGGACAGTGGACAGGGACAGTGAGGACAGATGTGGGAGTGGACAGTGTGCAGGACAGATGTGAGAGTGGACAGTGGCAGGACAGATGTGGGAATGGACATTGATGGACAGACAGTGGGAGTGACAGGACAGATGTGGGTGTGGACAGTGATAGGACAGATGTGGGTGTGGACAGTGGCAGTGGGCACAGATGTGGGAGTGGACAGTGGCAGGACAGATGTGTGGACAGTGGACAGATGTGGGTGTGGACAGTGTGGACAGATGTGGAGTGGACAGTGGCAGGACAGATGTGTGGACATGTGGGTGTGGGACAGATGTGGGTGTGGACAGTGGGGACAGATGTGGAGAGTGGACAGTGGCAGGGTGTGGACAGTGATGGGACAGATGTGGGTGTGGAGGACAGAGTGGACAGATGTGGACAGATGTGGGAGTGGACAGTGGCATTGTGGGACAGATGTGGGAGTGGACAGGGCAGTGGACAGATGTGGGAGTGGACAGGGGCAGGACAGATATCGAAGTGGACAGTGGCAGGAGAGATATGGGTGTGGACAGTTGCGGAACAGATGTTGGTGTGGACAGTGGCGGTACAGATGTGGGAGTGAACAGTGGCAGGACAGATGTGGGAATGAACAATAGACAGATGTGGGAGTGGAGAATGGTAGGACAGATGTGGGAGTGGACAGTGGTAGGACAGATGTGGGAGTGGACAGTTGCAAGACAGATGTGAGAGTGGACAGTGGCAGGACAGATGTCGGAATGGACAGTGTTGGGATAGATGTGGGTGTGAACAGAGATGGGACAGAAGTGGGAGTGGACAGTGGACAGATGTGGGAGTGGACAGTGGCAGGACAGATGTGGGAGTGGACAGTGTTGGGACAGATGTGAGAGTGGACAGTCGCAGAACAGATGTGGGAATGGACATTGATGGGACAGATATGGGTGTGGACAGTGATGTGACAGATGTGGGTGTGGACTGTGGTAGGACAGAAGTGGGATTGGACAAAGGCAGGACGAAGTGGGAGTGGACAGGGGCAGGACAGATGTGGGAGTGGACAGTGGCAGGACAGATGTGAGAGTGGACAGTGGCAGGACAGATGTGGGAATGGACAGTGTTGGGATAGATGTGGGTGTGAACAGAGATGGGACAGATGTGGGAGTGGACAGTGGACAGATGTGGGAGTGGACAGTGGCAGGACAGATGTGGGAGTGGACAGTGTTGGGACAGATGTGAGAGTGGACAGTGGCAGGACAGATGTCGGAATAGACAGTGTTGGGATAGATGTGGGTGTGGACAGTGGCTGGACAGATGTAAGAGTGGACAGTGGCAGGACAGATGTGGGAGTGGACAGTGGCAGGACAGATGTGGGAGTGGACAGTGTTGGGACAGATGTAGGTGTGGACAGTGATGGGACAGATGTGGGTGTGGTCAGTGGCAGATGTGGGAGTGGACTGTGGCAGAACATATGTGGCAGTGGACAGTGGTAGGACAGATAAGGGTGTGGACAGTGGCAGGACAGATATCGAAGTGGACAGTGGCAGGAGAGATATGGGTGTGGACAGTTGCGGAACAGATGTTGGTGTGGACAGTGGCGGTACAGATGTGGGAGTGGACAGTAGACAGATGTGGGAATGAACAATAGACAGATGTGGGAGTGGAGAATGGTAGGACAGATGTGGGAGTGGACAGTGGTAGGACAGATGTGGGAGTGGACAGTTGCAAGACAGATGTGAGAGTGGACAATGGTGGGACAGATGTGGGAGTGGAGAATGGTGGGACAGATGTGGGAGTGGACAGTGGTAGGACAGATGAGGGAGTGGACAGTTGCAAGACAGATGTGGTTGTGGACAGTGGTAGGACAGATGTGGGAGTGGACAGTGGCAGAACACAGTGGGAGTTGACAGTGGACAGATGTGGGTGTGGACAGTGATGAAACAGATGTGAGTATGGAGAGTGGCAGGACAGATGTGAGAATGGACAGTGGCAGGACAGATGTGGGAATGGACAGTGGCAGGACAGATGTGGGAATGGACAGTGATGGGACAGATGTGGGTGTGGACAGTGGCAGGACAGATGTGGGTGTGGACAGTGATGGGACAGATGTGGGAATGGACAGTGGTGGGACAAATGTGAGTATGGACAGTGGCAGGATAGATGTGAGAATGATGTGGACAGTGATGGGACAGGTGTGGGTGTGGACAGTGGACAGATGTGAGTATGGACAATGGCAGGACAGATGTGAGAATGGACAGTGGACAGATGTGGGAGTGGACAATGGTGGGACAGATGTGGGTGTGGACAATGATGGAACAGATATAGGTGGGGACATTGGCAGAACAGATGTGGGTGTGGACAGTGGCAGGACAGATGTTGGTGTGGACAAGTGGCAGAACAGATGTGGGAATGGACATTGATGGGATATATATGGGTGTGGACAGTGATGGGACAGATGTAGGTGTGGACAGTGGTAGGACAGAAGTGGGATTGGACAAAGGCCGGACGAAGTGGGAGTGGACAGGGGCAGGACAGATGTGGGAGTGGACAGTGGCAGGACAAATGTGAGAGTGGACAGTGGCTTGACAGATGTCGGAATGGACAGTGTTGGGATAGATGTGGGTGTGGACAGTGATGGGACAGATGTGGGAGTGGACAGTGGACAGATGTGGGGGTGGACAAAGGCTGGACGAAGTGGGAGTGGACAGGGGCAGGACAGATGTGGGAGTGGACAGTGGCAGGACAAATGTGAGAGTGGACAGTGGCTTGACAGATGTCGGAATGGACAGTGTTGGGATAGATGTGGGTGTGGACAGTGTTGGGACAGATGTAGGACTGGACAGTGTTGGGATAGATGTGGGTTTGCACAGTGATGAGACAGATGTGGGTGTGCACAGTGGCAGGACAGATGTGGGTGTGGACAGTGGCAGTACAGATGTGGCATTGGACAGTGATGGGACAGATGAGGGTGTTGACAGTGGACAGATGTGGGTGTGGACAGTGGACAGATGTGGGAGTGGACAGTGGACAGATGTGGGAGTGGACAATGGTGGGACAGATATGGGTGTGGACAGTGATGGAACAGATATGGGTGTGGACAGTGGCAGGACAGATGTTGGTGTGGACAGTCGCAGAACAGATGTGGGAATGGACATTAATGGGACAGATATGGGTGTGGACAGTGATGTGACAGATGTGGGTGTGGACAGTGGTAGGACAGAAGTGGGATTGGACAAAGGCAGGACGAAGTGGGAGTGGACAGGGGCAGGACAGATGTGGGAGTGGACAGTGGCAGGACAGATGTGAGAGTGGACAGTGGCAGGACAGATGTGGGAATGGACAGTGTTGGGATAGATGTGGGTATGAACAGAGATGGGACAGATGTGGGAGTGGACAGTGGACAGATGTGGGAGTGGACAGTGGCAGGACAGATGTGGGAGTGGACAGTGTTGGGACAGATGTGAGAGTGGACAGTGGCAGGACAGATGTCGGAATAGACAGTGTTGGGATAGATGTGAGAGTGGACAGTGGCAGAACAGAGTGGGAGTTGACAGTGGACAGATGTGGGTGTGGACAGTGGCAGAACATATGTAGGAGTGGACAGTGGCAGGACAGATGTTGGAGTGGACAGTGGCAGAACAGATGTGGGTGTGGACAGTGGTGGGACAGATGTGGGTGTGGACAGTGGACAGATGTGGTTGTGGACAGATGTGGGTGTGGACAGTGATGGAACAGATATGAGTATGGAGAGTGGCAGGACAGATATGAGAATGGACAGTGGCAGGACAGATGTGGGAATGGACAGTAATGGGACAGATGTGGGTGTGGACAGTGGCAGAACATATGTGGGAGTGGACAGTGGCAGGACAGATGTTGGAGTGGACAGTGGCAGAACAGATGTGGGTGTGGACAGTGGTGGGACAGATGTGGGTGTGGACAGTGGACAGATGTGGGTGTGGACAGTGGACAGTATGGGTGTGGACAGTGGTGAGAAAGGTGTGGGAGTGGGAAGTGGAGGAACACATGCAGATTATGACAATAACAGTAATTTATTGATAAAAATAGCAAATAAAAATTAAAATTTTGGGTTGAAAATCACTTTTTTAAACTGAATTTTTACAAAACAATTTAAATGAAATAAAACATAATCTAACAGAGAGTATTTTACCTCATTGTCCTTGTTAACAGGAAAGAATCAGTAATCATTTTAAAAAAAGAATTAAATACAGTCTTCTAACAATTCAAAATACTGTTTTGATAAGGATGTATACTACCTTACACACTGAACCTGTATGTTATCTTTAACCCTGAACCTGTATGTTATCTTACAATGAACCTATATGTTATCTTACACCCTGAACCTGTAATGTTATCTTACACAATAAACCTGTATGTTAACTTACACTATGAACCTGTACACTATCTTACACCCTGAACCTGTATGTTATCTTACACATTGAACCTGTATGCTATCTTACACCCTGAACCTGTATGTTATCTTACACACTGAACCTGTATGTTATCTTACACACTGAACCTGTATGCTATCTTACACCCTGAACCTGTATGTTTTCTTACACATTGAACCTGTATGCTATCTTACACCCTGAACCTGTATGTTATCTTACACAATGAACCTGTATGTTATCTTACACAATGAACCAGTATATTATCTTACACATTGAACCTGTATGCTATATTAAACCCTGAACCTGTATGTTATCTTACACATTGAACCTGTACGCTATTGTACACCCTGATCCTGTTTGTTATCTTAAACACTGAATCTGTATGTTATCTTACACACTGAACCTGTATGTTATCTTACACATTGAACCTGTATGCTATCTTACACCCTGAACCTGTATGTTTTCTTACACATTGAACCTGTATGCTATCTTACACCCTGAACCTGTATGTTATCTTACACCCTGAACCTGTATGTTATCTTACACACTGAACCTGTATGCTATCTTACACCCTGAACCAGTATGTTTTCTTACACATTGAACCTGTATGTTATCTTACACCCTGAACCTGTATGTTATCTTACACAATGAACCTGTATGTTATCTTACACACTGAACCTGTATGTTATCTTACACATTGAACCTGTATGCTATCTTACACCCTGAACCTGTATGTTTTCTTACACATTGAACCTGTATGCTATCTTACAACCTGAATCTGTATGTTATCTTACACACTGAATCTGTATGTTTCTTACACACTGAACCTGTATGTTATCTTACACATTGAACCTGTATGCTATCTTACACCCTGAACCTGTATGTTATCTTACACATTGAACCTGTATGCTATCTTACACATTGAACTTGTATGTTATTTTACACACTGAACATGTATGTAATCTTACACACTGAACCTGTATGTTATCTTACACCCTGAACCTGTATGTTTTCTTACACATTGAACCTGTATGCTATCTTACACCCTGAACCTGTATGTTATCTTACACACTGAACCTGTATGTTATCTTACACCCAGAACCTGTATGTTTTCTTACACATTGAACCTGTATGCTATCTTACACATTGAATCTGTATGTTATCTTACACACTGAATCTGTATGTTTCTTACACACTGAACCTGTATGTTATCTTACACATTGAACCTGTATGCTATCTTACACCCTGAACCTGTATGTTATCTTACACATTGAACCTGTATGCTATCTTACACATTGAACCTGTATGTTATATTACACCCTGAACCTGTATGTTATCTTACACCCTGAACCTGTATGTTATCTTATACACTGAATCTGTATACTATTTTACACAATGAATCTGTTTACTATTTTACACACTGAATCTAATATTGTTTTCACAAATAAATAACACTTATTAGATAACTATCTATAATATGATTTGTGTGTCCTTTTAGATAGTCCTTGTTGAAGTTACATATAACTAAGATATAAATACTATGAAAATGAATCTCAGTGACAAAGGATTTTTAGTCTTTCACACAACAATGATATTTTCCTAATCTAATTCTCAGATAAAAACTAAGATCCATTTCTCTTTGACATAAAATCTTCAATAATGTAAATTACTTACTCAGACATCTCATAAGTGTACTGGCTGGCGGAGTCTAGAGAATCAACCATTGACGCCTCTGTCTCTTCCAGAGTGTCCCAGCTAACTCTCAGCTGCCAAGCGATATGTTTGATCAACACTCTCATTCGTGAGTCATAGCAACCTACAAATATACAACAGTACCAACACATGTCACAGCAACCTACAAATGTACACAAGAACCAACACATGTCACAGCAACCTACAAATGTTAAACAATACCAACACATGTCACAGCAACCTACAAATATACAACAGTACCAACACATGTCACAGTAACCTACAAATGTACACAAGAACCAACACATGTCACAGCAACCTACAAATGTACAACAGTACCAACACATGTCACAGCAACCTACAAATATACAACAGAACCAACACATGTCACAGCAACCTACAAATGTAAAACAGAACCAACACATGTCACAGCAACCTAAAAATATACAACAGATCCAATACATGTCACAGCAACCTACAAATGTACACAAGAACCAACACATGTCACAGCAACCTACAAATATACAACAGAACCAACACATGTCACAGCAACCTACAAATGTTCAACAGTACCAACACATGTCACAGCAACCTACAAATGTACAACAGTACCAACACATGTCACAGCAACCTACAAATATACACCAGAACCAACATGTCACAGCAACCTACAAATGTACAACAGAACCAACACATGTCACAGCAACCTACAAATGTTAAACAATACCAACACATGTCACAGCAACCTACAAATATACAACAGTACCAACACATGTCACAGCAACCTACAAATATACAACAGAATCAACACATGTCACAGCAACCTACAAATGTACACAAGAACCAACACATGTCACAGCAACCTACAAATATACAACAGATCCAATACATGTCACAGCAACCTATAAATATACACCAGAACCAACACATGTCACAGCAACCTACAAATGTACACCAGAACCAATACTTGTCACAGTAACCTACAAATATACACCAGAACCAACACATGTCACAGCAACCTACAAATGTACAACAGAACCAACACATGTCACAGCAACCTACAAATATACAACAGAACCAACACATGTCACAGCAACCTACAAATGTACACAAGAACCAACACATGTCACAGCAACCTACAAATATACACCAGAACCAACACATGTCACAGCAACCTACAAATGTACAACAGAACCAACACATATCACAGCAACTTACAAATATACAACAGAACCAACACATGTCACAGCAACCTACAAATGTACACAAGAACCAACACATGTCACAGCAACCTACAAATGTACACCAGAACCAACACATGTCACAGCAACCTACAAATGTACAACAGTACCAACACATGTCACAGCAACCTACAAATGTTAAACAATACCAACACATGTCACAGCAACCTACAAATATACAACAGTACCAACACATGTCACAGCAACCTACAAATGTTAAACAATACCAACACAGGTTACAGCAACCTACAAATATACAACAGAACCAACACATGTCACAGCAACCTACAAATGTACAACAGTACCAACACATGTCACAGCAACCTACAAATATACACCAGAACCAACACATGTCACAGCAACCTACAAATATACAACAGTACCAACACATGTCACAGCAACCTACAAATGTTAAACAATACCAACACAGGTTACAGCAACCTACAAATATACAACAGAACCAACACATGTCACAGCAACCTACAAATGTACAACAGTACCAACACATGTCACAGCAACCTACAAATATACACCAGAACCAACACATGTCACAGCAACCTACAAATGTACAACAGAACCAACACATATCACAGCAACTTACAAATATACAACAGAACCAACACATGTCACAGCAACCTACAAATGTACACAAGAACCAACACATGTCACAGCAACCTACAAATGTACACCAGAACCAACACATGTCACAGCAACCTACAAATGTACAACAGTACCAACACATGTCACAGCAACCTACAAATGTTAAACAATACCAACACATGTCAAAGCAACCTACAAATATACAACAGTACCAACACATGTCACAGCAACCTACAAATGTTAAACAATACCAACACAGGTTACAGCAACCTACAAATATACAACAGAACCAACACATGTCACAGCAACCTACAAATGTACACAAGAACCAACACATGTCACAGCAACCTACAAATGTACACCAGAACCAACACATGTCACAGCAACCTACAAATGTACAACAGTACCAACACATGTCACAGCAACCTACAAATGTACAACAGAACCAACACATGTCACAGTAACCTACAAATGTTAAACAATACCAACACATGTCACAGCAACCTACAAATATACAACAGAACCAACACATGTCACAGCAACCTACAAATGTACAACAGTACCAACACATGTCACAACAACCTACAAATGTACAACAGAACCAACACATGTCACAGCAACCTACAAATGTACACCAGAACCAACACATGTCACAGCAACCTACAAATGTACAACAGTACCAACACATGTCACAGCAACCTACAAATGTACAACAGTACCAACACATGTCACAGCAACCTACAAATGTTAAACAATACCACGCATGTCACAGCAACCTACAAATATACAACAGTACCAACACATGTCACAGCAACCTACAAATGTACACCAGAACCAACACATGTCACAGTAATTTACAAATATACAACAGTACCAAAACATGTCACAGCAATTTACAAATTCACAGTAAAACTGTGCAATATTCACAGTAAAACTGTGCATTATTTACAGTAAAACTGTAAATTATTTACAGTAAAACTGAGCATTATTTACAGAAAAATTGTACATTATTCACAGTAGAAATGTACATTATTTACAGTAAAACTGAGCATTATTCACAATGGAACTGTGCATTATTTACAGTAAAACTGAACATTACTTTTCAATAAAACTGAACATTACTTTTCAATAAAACTGAACATTACTTTTCAGTAAAACTGAATATTATTTACAGTAAAACTGGACATTATTCACAGTAAAACTGTACATTATTTACAGTAAAACAGAGCATTATTTACAGTTAAACTGTGCATTATTTACAGTAAATCTGAGCATTATTTACAGTAAAACTGAATATTATTTACAGTAAAACTGAGCATTATTTACAGAAAAACCATGCATTATTCACAGAAAAACCATGCATTATTTACAGTAAAACTGAACATTACTTTTCAATAAAACTGAATATTACTTTTCAGTAAAACTGTACATTATTCACAGTAAAACTGTAAATTATTTACAGTAAAACTGTACAATATTTACAGTAAAACTGTACATTATTTACAGTAAAACTGAGCATTATTCACAGAAAAACCATGCATTATTTACAGTAAAACTGAACATTACTTTTCAATAAAACTGAATATTACTTTTCAGTAAAACTGTACATTATTCACAGTAAAACTGTAAATTATTTACAGTAAAACTGTACATTATTTACAGTAAAACTGTACATTATTCACAGTAAAACTGTAAATTATTTACAGTAAAACTGTACATTATTTACAGTAAAACTGTACATTATTTACAGTAAATCTGAGCATTATTTACAGTAAAACTGTACATTATTTACAGTAAAACTGTACATTATTTACAGTAACACTGAGCATTATTCACAGTAAAACCATGCATTATTTACAGTAAAACTGAACATTACTTTTCAATAAAACTGAACATTACTTTTCAGTAAAACTGTACATTATTTACAGTAAAACTGAGTATTATTTACAGTAAAACTGTACATTATTTACAGTTAAACTGAGCATTATTTACAGTAAAACTGAATATTATTTACAGTAAAATTGAGCATTATTTACAGAAAAACTGTTCATTATTCACAGTAAAACTGTACATTATTTACAGTAAAACTGAGCATTATTTACAGTAAAACTGAGCATTATTCACAGAAAAACCATGCATTATTTACAGTAAAACTGAACATTACTTTTCAATAAAACTGAATATTACTTTTCAGTAAAACTGTACATTATTCACAGTAAAACTGTAAATTATTTACAGTAAAACTGTACATTATTTACAGTAAAACTGTACATTATTTACAGTAAAACTGTACATTATTTACAGTAAATCTGAGCATTATTTACAGTAAAACTGTACATTATTTACAGTAAAACTGTACATTATTTACAGTAACACTGAGCATTATTCACAGTAAAACCATGCATTATTTACAGTAAAACTGAACATTACTTTTCAATAAAACTGAACATTACTTTTCAGTAAAACTGTACATTATTTACAGTAAAACTGAGTATTATTTACAGTAAAACTGTACATTATTTACAGTTAAACTGAGCATTATTTACAGTAAAACTGAATATTATTTACAGTAAAATTGAGCATTATTTACAGAAAAACTGTGCATTATTCACAGTAAAACTGTACATTATTTACAGTAAAACTGAGCATTATTTACAGTAAAACTGAACATTATTTACAGTAAAACGGTGTATTTTTTTTACAGTAAAATTGTACATTATTTACTGTACAGTCATACTTTATCTAGAGTAAATCCATACATCATGATAGTACACCCATACAGTTACACTAAAAGAACCCTCTGTTGTATGCAATCCTAAATCTGAGTACGTCAGATACTAAGAGATGAATGTTGAGGCAGTGATATATATAACATGAGCAAAACCTTACCATTAGATATTGATAGAGCTATGAGGTCTGAAACAACCGGCACTCCAGACTTTTCCAGGACTGGTTCATCTAACACCATGTCTACATAGGGACGAGCATCATCAAAACCTTGACCTTCCATGATGGCCATTACAGAGTCTCTGGCCTGCGGTAAATGACAACATTACTAAACATATACATTAAATTCATCACCAAGTCTCTGGCTTTAGGAAAACACCAACATTACAAAGGAAACACAATAAAGTTCATCCACAAGCGTTTCATCTTTGGAGAACCCCAGTGTTACAAAGTGATGTACCCTTTACATTAAAATTTTATTTCACTCATAATTTACCATTAATTTGTCACAAACCTGGCTGGGTAGATGCAAGTGTTCCACGATCCTTTCCATGGAGGCTTTCTTGAAGTCACTAGAGAAAATAAATGGGCAAGTAGAAAATACATTTTATTTTATCTAAATGTCTATACTTAAACCATGATTTATATTTCAAATAGAAAATTTCCGTAATTTACATGTGTACATAATAAAATCATTTTAACCAAGAACCAAGACCATATTAAACCTCTATCGATTCATCAAAAATATTTTTTTATTTCATGACGATTTCTGAGTCTTGGGCACAAAGCACTATAAAAAGATAGTTCCTACTTAAGTGTCATAGATACATGTACGACTATTTTGTTAATTGTAATTATTTAATTTCAATTTCAGACAGTTATCATTTAGTGTATGCTACCTTTACATATAACAAACTTCTTTCACAGACATGCTTTTTTTTATACATTTGAATAGTCACTTCATATCTATGTAAAGGGGTATCATTTTCATCAAGCAAGTGATAAGTATAGCTTATCATTTTTCAAACTTTATACCTAAATGAGTATCAAAATAAAACATGTGCTAAATAATGATTAAATGAACATCAAAGTGAACAGAAAATACAGATCTTATGCACCTGAATATTTCGTAACTCTGAATATTTCTTAACTCCTTCATCTGCTTCATCTAAATCACATGAAATCACAGACACACGACAACAAAGGAATTCCCTACCAAACAAACCTGTGTCATATAAACTGAATTTGAAATATGGTCACAAAATAATTCTAAAAATAAAATAATTTAATGAAGATAAGCATAATACTTTAAATAAAGTAGTTACAAATCAGTGAAAATTTCAGTCTATGTGTCTGAATGGCAGCAAATGTAACTGCGATCTTAAATGTCTGGAGGCACTGTCTAACTGATGCAGAGCCAATTTGTGTTGTTTGTCTGAAGTAAGGCAGCTCATTTTGACATCTTTTACCTTTAAACCACTTTGCTCATATTCATTCAAATTTCACTCACCATGCCACTGTCAGCTATTTATTATGTTTTCATATACTACAAAACTTGAGTGTACCCGCTCATTTTCAAACTCACCCATTGGGGTTCATCTTGTATATCTAGTTGAGAGACTCTTCAAACTTTAAGAAATTTGGGTTATATTTGGACTTGAATAACATTATAAGTGTAAAGTTATGACTTTATCATCTTTAGAAAAAAGAACAGATTTTTTTTTCCATTTTTTGTAAATTCAAACAGCTTCAACAATACAATGGCCCTTTAATTTCAATACACAGCATATTTTTTGGGATCAGTATATCATGTACCCATGACGACTATTTGAGAAGAATGAATGTCTGTGACACACAGCAATTATACATACTTGTGCCATTTGTCTTCAAAGAGCTGAAGAAAGGAGACAGCACACAACGCTGAATAGGAGTAGGCCCCAACATCTGACAACTTCCGATGGAGTATCTTTGATATGTCTGAAAAGAAAACATTACATATATTTCAAACATATACTTTAGTGCATTGAATATATCATAAGCAGGATCAATAGGAGTATAATTTTGTACAGTATTCAACAAGATATCTCACAGGGATCTTGGCACCCATCATTGAGTGATCTTTATTAGTTCTTTAAAAGCTTAATCTGTCTTCTTCTCTCCTGTTTTTGCTCTTAATTATACAAAATTTGAACATTTCTCTGAAGAAATAGTAATAGCAATCTTTTAACTGCCAAATCCAACATGGTAGCTCTTCAGCCATTTTGTTTTTTCTGATCAGTCCAAATACAAACTGACACAACTAGGGACCAAAGGATCTTACATATGAAATTTGAGAAAGGTCTATCCAGTGCTTCTCACAACAAAGTGATAACAAATTTTATTAAGCAAAATCCAAGATGGCTGTCCATCTGCCATTTTGGTTTTCTGATTAGTCCAAACAAACATCAAACAGAATAAAACTAGTGACTAAAGGGAATTTAACTTACATATATAACTTGACAAACATCCATCCAGTATCTCTCGAGAAATAGTGATAACAAACTTTCATTGTAAAATCCAAGATGGCCACCTGCCAGCTATGTTATTTCTAGCCCTAAAAGCAAATGTACACAACTAGGGACCAAAGAGAACTTATCTATGGAATTTGAGAAAGATATTTCCCATCCTTCACAAGAAACAGTGATAGTAAAAAATTGCTTAGGGATGGACGGCAGATGGACAGATGATGGATCACAGACATAGAGCAATTTGAACAGCTCACCATCTGATTAATCAAGATTTAATCCTCCATAAGTAAATGTTAGTCTTTATTCAACACTTTTGTTCAACTGCAAAATGCAAACTGTAAACGTGTAGAAGTTAAGAGGACAGGTAGCCTTACTAAGGCCTCAGCTAGTAGGAATTTCCCTTTAGTCAAGTGATTGGCTAAAGACCAAAGGATCACTAGTTCGAACCCCAGCGGTTGCAGGGTGTTTTTATTACTCCATCCTATTACAAATGTACATTCCTAGTGGGTTATAATAAAGTATACCATGAGTGTAACTTTATATTTAGATATAATGTTAAGAATGCCGTAAAAATAATAATAACGAAAACCCCGTCAAAATCCGTCGCCCCAGTGTCGAGTTATTAAAGCTCAAAGTTGTCAATTTTCACCTGTTCGCTCAGACCTAATCAGCGTAATGGTCATTTCCGCAGAATCGAGGCGCTTCTACTCGTGACGTCATTAGTTCAACAGAAATGGCAGCCAACATGACTGACAGTGACAACGACACCGCACCTGATAGTGATTTGAACATGAGTTTTGAGGAGTCTGATTATGGAGTGGATGCTATTTCTGAAGACGGAATCCAGCCCTACCGATTTGAACCGGAATTACAAGACGATGTATCCAGTGAGGAGGAAAATAACATCGTCATTTAGTCAAACTCTTTTCGGCAGAGTCCAATCCATTGCTTTCATTACACTATACCGAATTGGAAATGAATTTCCGTCGAGGTTTTTTGAACATTAATATGAATAATTTGGTGGACCTTTTCACATGTCTTTCTTCTTCCGGACAAATTGAATCCATTGTTTGCATAAATCTGGCCTATTTAATGGGAAGGCATGCATCGACACCCCATCCATGTTAGTGTTAGGATGGTGTCAGGAATTTTCGTACCGAAGAATTTTCGTCCAAGGGGAATTTTCGTTCCAGGGAATTTTCGTAGCACAACCGTACGCAGCACAACGCTTCCCTCCTCAAAAGGAAGCCATTTTAGCGGATTTAAGTGCTAATTCACCGAACCCTCGTTCACTACCTTAAATATTGCGAAGATGTGAAGTACTTTCACGAAAATAAACAAAGAAATTACCCCGGAAAATCCCAAAATAGATCACAATCACATGTAGCACAGTAATGCCAATATGGCTGCATCAGCAAAAACGTTGAACTTATTACGTCACAGGTTTGGATGCCCAAAAACGAGGTCAAGACCTCTCAGCCAAAGGTGTGTTTTTCAGAAAGGTCACAATTTCTCAGTAATGGAACATTCCATGGCATTCGCATTTTCAGCAATGTGCAGAACTATTTCTTAAGCTCAAAATAGCTGACCTCTCAGGGTACACTTTAAATAGTGAAAGAAAAAACAGTACATCCTCAATGAAATTGACTTGTTTATTTACATATATATGTAGAGCTATATCTGTCTTAATTTTGTGGTTTGTTGTTAATTCCTTTCTTGGTAGACATTCCCCAGTCAGGTACAACAACACCACTAAATCAGGTTTACATTGACCAAGTAACAGATTCTTTCGAACTACCAAACAATATGAAAACATTTGCATCACTGTCTTCCTTCTATGAAATACAATGACCTCAGCCAGGTATTATAAGAATTTCTTTGAGTCTACTTACTTTCGTTTTTCATTTGCAGACATTTTGAAGAGCTACAAATGCGGACTGTGACGTGTACATTAAAAGACACACTTACATTTGATAACCGAAATTTTTGAAACTTACTCAGTTCGTAAGTAATATGTGTACCTTTATTATCCTCCACTTCTATGTCAGAATCGTCTTTTTCCTTTTGCTTTTTACCATATTTTGCCTGAGTCAGCTGATACTTTGCCCCATCTTCCGCCATGACAGTAAGATGACTTCCGGTTTACTTTACGCTACTTCCGGTTTGAATGAGAACTATGTAATATATAACATTGTATGTATGTCCCATCCTTTGGATTGGGGTCTCATTTAGAAAAAAAGGAACAACAAGGTTCAAAACAGGTATGAAAATGGCATATTATTTTGTTGAAATATTCAAATATGACGGGTTTACAAGACGTAGCAGACCAATATTTCCCAAAGACCGGTTTTCATTCATAAACACTTTTAAATGGCCAGTCACGGTCTAGCTGTCACGCTATTGTAAACAGGTTTATTGATATACCCGTTCAAAGATCGGGTATATCGTCCCAGTCTGCTTATAGCTTTTACCTTGTGTGCTCGGAAATTCTCTGACATTACTTTAAAGTTAAAAATAGACTTTAGATGTGTTTAATATTGGCCCAACCGACTTGCTAAGAGAAAAGTGTTTGGGTGTGTCAAGACCGCCGTCAAGTATAGATTGGAATACATTTAAGAATTGTTCGGTTTTGTAAGGTAATCAAAGCAAAGGATTTTATGTACAAGTATTCAAATGTAGGACATCTATAATTGTGCATTAACAAGCAGTAGAATTTTACTTTTTTTCAGTGTGATGTGCAATTTATTGCATGTTTTTTATTAATGCTTTACTGCTGTGTATTGTAATTTATGTGTGTATATTCAGTTCAAGATATAGATTTAGATCCAATTATGTCTTGTTTGTAAATGTGACATTCATGATAATTGAAGAACTGTAATGGTACTACATGAAGCACTGACTCAGAAATATGTCCCTGTCGTCATAGTCAGCAGCACGTTAAAGTACTGGTGATATTACATGTGGTAGTAGTTTGATTTCCCTTTATGAGAATATCATGTATTAATGTATATAAGGTATACATGTGCACGGTCACAGAAAGGTAATGATTAGGATGTACATGAGACTTTAAGTTAATCATATACTTATTTTCTATTTAAAAAACTGTGTATTAAACATTGCAAAATCTGTATGCTTATATACCTGTAATATAGATTTATTTAGAACATGTATTAGATATTTGTTTTTATAAGCACATGATCATGAGCTGTCCAATAGTTTGACTGACAAGACTTAACAGTTTAATTTAAGTTTAATTATCAGCATCATATATTTAAATAAAGCACATCTACTTGTAAATTTTAACATTGTCTATACATGAGGCAAACAACTTTGTTGCTTCTGATCAAGCAACAATATGTTTATGTAACAGAAGGATATTGAATTAGATATATTCAATTTTCTTCTGCATTTCATAATTAAAATGTTTTTCCTTCTACTATGTATTTGATATTTTATTTCTTCTAGGCATCATTTTACCTACTGTAAGCTGTTTCATTGTGAAGGCACATTCATTTTTAGGATATGCATCTCAAGCTTATAAATGCTTGTTGCTTGGAGTTCCTACTTACTCAGTGAGGAAAAAGTTCTATTTGACACAATAAGTAGGAAGAGCCTAAAACAGAGCTAGTACATGTGCGTCTTAGATTCAATTCTTAAATTTAATGACATTTAATGACAAATTTATGGACGCAGGCTGTATATCTTAGATTCAATTTTTAAATTTAATGACATTTAATGACAAATTTATGGACGCAGGCTTTAAGCCTTTATATTCATATCTGAAATACAATGATAAATATACATATTGTATCAATGGCTTTTAAAAGTTAACGCATATCATAGTTATCAATAATCATAAATCATATCTTGAAAGTGTTCATCCAAAAGTTGTTCAAAGTGTCTAACTGAAAGTAAAGTAAGACACTATATCTGTTTGTCTCTTTGAGTTTTGGGACTCAGATATTTGATTTATACTCCCTGAAATTTTAAGAACTAATTACCAGATCTCTTGATATTTTGAAAATGGTCTTTTTACTTGCATGAAAAAATCCTACCAAAAATGGCTGAAGTTAGTTACAATGCCAAAGATTTCAACCTGCAACATATATATACATAATGTTGTTTCTTATTGTATATATTTAGCTTATAGAGGTACACAGCTAAGATATTGAGTAAGATCTCATTGGCTATTGTCATCAAACTGTAAACATTTATTAAAAACTATCTTTATTTAATTAGTTCTATGATACAGTCTATTTTCGATCATGCATGACTTTGACAAAAATACAGTATGTATGTATACATAAAATGAATATAATATCTTCAGATCCTATATGAATATCAAAAACAATAAAAAAGAAATGAGCGAATGGTTAAGTATTGCTTTGCACTCACTTTCACCTTTTCAGAAGTTCTTCAAGGGAATTTGTATAGAGTGTAATAGGAGTGGGTTGGTGTAGCTTGTATATAGTATTAAATATGGTGTCTGTCAATCAGCCGACATAGCATGTTTTGTGATTATCACTCCAGAGACCCTGTTTTGATTCCTGGTGGCGGCACTCAACAGGAATGTGTATTTTCCCTGTTCTTTTACAAGAGTATATGTACCTTCTTAAGATGGTTTATATATTTTGCCCCTTCTATAGGGCCTAAGATTGGCGTCCAACTGGCCGATAGGATTATCAGAACATTTAATGTTATTGTTCTTTATTATAGTTTGTAACTTTGTCTTTGTCTATGCTGTGCGTATGTGATGTAACTTTTGTACTTTTTACAACTTGTCCATACTGTTGCTATTTTTTCATTGATTATATAATATGTAGGTATATTTATACATTGTAAGAAAAGAAATCGGTGATATAAGAGGACCTTGAAAATGCTGGCAAACCAAAAAAGACAGCAAGCTATAGATTATGAAATCGGGAACAATTCAATATAGAATTACACAAACTATGGCAAGTTGCCTATCATGGTAGATAAAACTGAAATAGTGTATTTGAAAAAAACAAGAGATTGTTACCAAATGAACAGTGGAAATTTGATGGAGAAAACAGAATTGGTAGATCAGTTCTACTATTTAGGCTTCGTTTTTTATTATAATGGGAAATTTGTTGTTGCTCATAATGATATTATTACACAAGGCACAAAGGTCTATTTTCTTCTTAATCAAAAGGTAAAAAGGTTTATCTTGAATGAAAAGACCAAGTTGGTATTATTTTATACTTTTATACTATGTCATGTATTTTGAATTACGTCTGTGAGTTCTGGAGCTTCGATACTGCGCCACAGAAAAAAAACTACATATAGCATGAAGTCTCTATTGGGTTTAAACAAAATGTTAATACCTCTATGGTTTATTTCGAACGTGGTCATTTCCTTATTACATACACCGTAGAGTTTCTACTACCTCACCTGACCAGAAAGGCCAAGTGAGCTTATACTGTGGTGTGGCATCCAGCGTCAACTTTTTTCTTTAGACAACTTCTTCTCATTAATCAATAGACTGAATGTTTTGATATTTGGCTGTTATATTCCATGGATGCAGCCTGACAAAGTTTGCAGAATGAAATTACCTTGACTCACATTCAAGGTCACAGGGGGCAAATTTGTTAAAACATAAAAACAACTTCGCATGAAGTAAAAGGCCCAGAGGCTGGTATGTTCTTAGGGTGATGTCCAACAAAGTCTGCAAAAAGAAATTACCTCGTCATATATTCTAGGTCACGGGGGCCAGATTCATTAAAACCTTTGAATGACTTTTCCTCATGAACTGAAATATGTAAATTCTATCTCAACAAGCCACTAACTTTAAAGATCAAAATAATAATTTCTAAGTATAGGTTGAATGCACATACACAAAATGTTGAGACTGGAAGATATCATGGCCTTCATATAGCTCAAAAACTGTGCACTCTGTGTGAGAATGAAAGTCAGTTTATACTATTATGTCCAGCATTTTCAGAAATAAGATCAACATATATCAAACTGTAGTTTTATTGCCGACCATCTGTTTTCTAATTAATTCAACTGTTTTTTAACATAAAAAATCTTCCTTGTTTTGGTAGATATAAAATTCAGGCTACATCAAAGAGAAAGTTCCTATTGTGGGTATGAATTACTAAACACATCTTTTATATTTAGATGTAACATGAATGTAATATATGTGTATATTGATTTCCTTATTCTTTTCTTAGAGTTATGAGGTAAAAAAGTGCACATTTGTTTCTACATTGGTACAAATAGACTAGTGTTGACTTATGGTATTTCATTAGCCTGCTTCCTGTTGAGGTTACTTGTTATTACTTTTTCATGATGACGTCATAATGTTAGGTCATAGTGGGTTATGTCGAGTGGGTTATGTCGTAGTGGGTTATGTCTTATTCATGGTTTTTGTCTATGTATACATGTATATTATCATACATATATATATATATATATATATATTGTGACAAGGGACTATTCTGGGTGCACCTTTTCCATAAGATGTCCGATTCCAATACTATGCAAAGAGGATACGTTTGTCAAACTCTTCAAGCGGGCACTAAATGCTAATTAATTAGTGTACTTAGACCTTAAAAATATTAATAATGTTATTATCTCCCCTCATATATTATTGATTGTATTACGTCATAATGTTGCTACCAAGACATTGAAGTAATCGCCTGAAGATAGCTGAGACACGGCTTGAAAACGTTAGCGATAATCAAGTTTATTTGCCTTGTTGGCCTTTTATGTTTACATATATATATATATATATAGAAGCAAATGTTCTCTGCCATCTTGTATAAATTTTTGTTACAACATGTATGTATTTAATCTTTTCTCCTATATGCTGTTTGCATACAGAATAAAGTGAAATGAATTGAGAAAAATGGCCAGAACTAGATGAAGGTGCAAGGAAAATTACAAACTTTACATTAAAATGTAGATGATGCTTTTAAATCCTGTGTCAGTCACTTACACAAATATGAACTGAACACCTTGGATAACATACATACTCTTTTTGGCTTCATTTTTTCTGTATTTGTTGTGTTACAATTACCTGTAGTTAGGTACAAAGAAACTAGTTTCTTTCAGTGCTGTTTAACATAAGAATTCAAACTTGATAATGATATTGTAGTAATTTTGAATTATGAAATACAAAATTTCAAAACTTCATGTAGTACTTACTGTGCAAATAGAGCACATATATTTGTTATCACTCTGAATGTCTGTAGCATATTATTGTGATTATCATTTGCTTCAGCATACAGTTTAATGGATCTTGTACACATGCATATAAAGACAAATCTAGCAAGATATTGTTAAATGTTACATGTATTTGTTGTATTTAGACCAAAGTGAAGTTTTGTTATAAGGCTGTTAAGTCATATTGATTGTTAACTTTAAAAGTGCATTCATGTATACCATGACTGTAGTTTAGGTTGATGATACTGAGAAATATACAAGTGCGAGAATGTAGCTGACTTTGAGGTAATCATATTGTTATGTTGAAACAGTGTACATGTATTATCAAGATTTTGAAATGTTATATACACAGTTACATGATGTTTTTAAGTGTCATTGATCAGATCTTCTTTGACAAGCTACCGTTGATAAGCATACTATCACTATCATAGCTGTATTATCATTGTATTCACTATACAGCAAAATAAAGTATGGTTGTATGGCCTATCTGTACTTCGATTACAATATTAACCACAACACTTAGAATTCTAATGTTTAAGATGATAAGGTAATCTAGGATATAACCTATCTTCACCTGGTACAGATTAATGTCCACATTTTCTTTATTTGGTATGGTTGATACCCTGGTACAAAATGAGACATGATAACAATGCTGACAAATACATTCATCATCAATAGAAATGAACTGAAAATTACTTTTTTATTGGAATGGGGGCATGTAGCATTATCAATTCCTGTTCGCTCCCATCTAGTCACATCGGTCTAGAATCACAATCATCGCTTTATCAAACATTTCTGGTAGATTTTAAAACGATAACTCCAGAACCAGACAGGCAGTGTGATTATAACTCCACAACCAGACAGGCTGTGTGACGATAACTCCACAACTAGACAGGCAGTGTGACAATAACTCCACAACCAGACAGGCAGTGTGACAATAACTCCAACCAGACAGGCAGTGTGACAATAACTCCACAACCAGACAGGCAGTGTGACAATAACTCCAACCAGACAGGCAGTGTGACAATAACTCCACAACCAGACAGGCAGTGTGACAATAACTCCACAACCAGACAGGCAGTGTGACAATAACTCCACAACCAGACAGGCAGTGTGACAATAACTCCACAACCAGACATGCAGTGTGACAATAATTCCAACCAGACAGGCAGTGTTACAATAACTCCACAACCAGACAGGCTGTGTGACAATAACTCCACAACCAGACAGGCAGTGTGACAATAACTCCAACCAGACAGGCAGTGTGACAATAACTCCACAACCAGACAGGCAGTGTGACAATAACTCCACAACCAGACAGGCAGTGTGACATTAACTCCACAACCAGACAGGCAGTGTGACAATAACTCCAACCAGACAGGCAGTGTGACAATAACTCCACAACCAGACAGGCAGTGTGACAATAACTCCACAACCAGACAGGCAGTGTTACAATAACTCCACAACCAGACAGGCAGTGTTACAATAACTCCACAACCAGACAGGCTGTGTGACAATAACTCCACAACCAGACAGGCTGTGTGACAATAACTCCACAACCAGACAGGCTGTGTGACAATAACTCCACAACCAGACAGGCAGTGTGACATTAACTCCACAACCAGACAGGCAGTGTGACAATAACTCCAACCAGACAGGCAGTGTGACAATAACTCCACAACCAGACATGCAGTGTGACAATAACTCCACAACCAGACATGCAGTGTTACAATAACTCCACAACCAGACAGGCTGTGTTACAATAACTCCACAACCAGACATGCAGTGTTACAATAACTCCACAACCAGACAGGCAGTGTGACAATAACTCCACAACCAGACAGGCAGTGTGACATATGTTAAAGACTGATGTGATCATGTTCTCCACTAGCTTTTTGTTGAAACTAATGAATTATATCTACATTTTTACTGCAACTTGACAAAATGTTAATAAGGCCTTATTAATTTTAGTTTGATTTTTCAAGTTATAATCAGCACAGGACAGGAAAATCAATAGATAAATATAAGCATCTCACTGTCCTGTTTTATGGCCATTATATATAAATGACGGAGTTTTGCAGATAAACATAAAACATGCCAGCTCAATACTTCTATATGTTAATATTTTTTCTCTCATATCTTATCACTATGTTATATTCACAAATGGTTGTTAGACTTAAATTATGTTAATCATTTTTATATCACATTTATCACAAGTTTAATTATCTGATTTTTAATGTTACAGCTCTGGTATATCAGTTATAATTATGTATAATTAATAGCTAGCATTTTGAAATTGTGTTGGGAAATTGGAAAAATGATGTGCTAGCAAAATAAAAAAACATGTGATATGATGGTGTTACGCGACCTTGTAAACATTTGAATTCTTTTCAAAGTTGGTTGGTGATAATAGCTTTAAATGGTCTGGTTTTGTCATTAACATTTCATGTAGTCCTGATTTCATTGTGGCTGTTCACTTAGACATGCTATCTGAAAGTCATGTGCAATTATTCTACATATAACATCATACAGGTATCATGTTCATTGCTTATGAAGATTTTTTATGCTTTCCTTTGGCAGCGTGACAACATCTTTATAAATGGCTGGTTTATATGTGCTATGTATACAGATATGCAAAAGAGTGATTGTTATTGGTGAATATCTTTTCAAAGTAACTAAATTTGCTCTGATTTAAAACATTCTAGTAGATTTAGTATACATAAAAATTTCTAAAATTTTGTATAAAATATGGTGCCAAAATAATCCAATTGCATGGTGTATGTATACAGAACATTGAGGTGTATCACATTGAAGCTGTGTATCGTTAAAGCCCTTAATCAAAGCAAAGATAATATTATTAATTCACACTTCCACAGATTTATCAGATGTTAAACATCATGCAACACTTGGACTAGACAACTGAACAAAACAAAAAATGTATAATTAATGATTCCTGATATTAACATAGACAGAGTATTAGCAACTGTTTCAAATGCTATCAAGTATATTTATATTGGAAAGGACAGCTACTCTAAACACAAAATTAGATTGTGGTCTAAATGACTTCAGAACACTGAGAGTTATGCTTGTTAATACTACATGTAACTTTTTTTGTTTAAAGGGACATTATAGTCAGGTTTATGTCTGCGAGAGGAGTGCACTACATTTATGACCCAAGAATGACTAAATCTCAGCACTACCGTCAGGATGCCGTGTCACGGAAACGGGAAGAGCGTGCCGTGCGAGAACAGCACAAACGTGGCAGACAGGCAGCATCTTACCTTGCTGACGATGGCAACTATCCCAGTTTTAAGATGCAGCTTGATAAGATTGGTCTACAACTAAGGGACATCCCAGGAGATGGGTAAGCACTGTCTGTAAGACATATTCTGTGTGCCATGATATTTGTCTATGGACTGACTCTAAACCTCCTACAGCACTTAAAACTTCATATTATTCTAGAAATTAATTTAAATCTATATTATATATATATATGTTCTAGGAATTGTCTTTTCCGTGCTTTGGGGGACCAACTTGAGGGACATGGAAGGAACCACTTCAAGTACAGATATGATGTCGTCAAATACATGTCAGAACACAGAGATGATTTTGAGCCGTTTGTAGAGGATGACGTGCCTTTTGATCGACACAGTGAGTTTGTAGTGTTGTCTGAAAATTGTATGATACATTTTGTTATACAGAAATATTTTCATTTCACAAATTATTATGATCTGGACTGGTTATGGAATTAAAACCTTTGATACTTTAGTGTTATTGTCACTACAATTCACTTTACTGTCACTTTCTTGATGTTGTGGATTTTCAGACATTTTGGTTTACACCTATAACACCTGATGGTTATCATCAACATTAAAATCACTCACCATCCTCAGTCTTTTAGTTGGTTCCATGCATTACGATTAACTCTTCATGTCAACTTTTGAAAGTTAGAGAGAGATGGGAGGAACAGAATGTGAATGCACTTGCATTTGTTGATAGGTTATTTGTATGAATATTTGCAATGGAAGTTTGTCATAATTATTCATAACTTTGAAGGGATCTTCTAGAAAATAAAGTGAAGAAAACAGTGTATTGACAACCTAGTTGTGTATGCTATTGAATTTTATCTTGATAAGGTATTAAAGCAGCCTTTATTTGTGATTGGGTTATCATTTGAATGTTGTTTTTAAAATTCTTTGAACTTACAATACCAGTTAAGTTAAGGTCCTACTACCTTTCGTTAAGAGTTGACTTATAAGAATTGCTATCAGAGTCCTTGGCACAAGATTTCAAGCTGAGTACATGTTTAATGAAATGTTTATTCTTCACCATATTATACTGCGGATATACACAAGTCTGTACAGAAGCACAAAGTCAAATTCACTTTACAATTTTTTTTTTTTAAGTATAATCTTTTTATGGATCTTTTTCAGTTCAAAATTTGCAAAAAATAGGTACATATGCAGGAAATGATGCAATCGTAGCATTTGCTAGACTACAACAAGTGAACGTTATCATCCACCAACTGGGTTCCCCTTTCCTTCTGGTAGGTATACTCAGTCATAGACAAGCAGTGTAATTTAAAAATGTTTTATCACTGTATGATTAAAACAAATAATGAAGAATATATGTACAATATCAATATTCTTACTATGTCACCAGTCCAATAGTTAAATTAATTTTAATTATAATTCTTTTAGTGAAAGAATGATAAATAAACTTGGGCAATATTATGTATTTTTACTCAGGGGATAAAGAAACACAGGGTGACATTATTTGCAATATCTGAGAGGCATTTTGACTTTGAAAGTTTGTTATCACTATTTCTTGAGAAGTACTGTATGTATCTTTCTCAAATTTCATATATAGGATCCAAGATATATAAGATCCAATTTCAAAGAGCATGTAAAGATCAAACAATGGTGGGCACCAAGATCCCTCTGGGATGTCTTGTGATTAATTTCTGATAGCAATAAACAGTGGCACAGCTGATTAAAGTTCAGAGGGGTGAGGCCATTGCGGCGATTATGCAAGGTCAAAGGCAAATACAGGTTGCCAGGCATTTCAGTGTCCCTATTTGCACTGTAGAACGTCTTGTTAGACATGCAAGGAAAAGTAGGTTGGTTGCTGACAGACCTAGGACGGCACATCCGGGTGTAACATCACAATGTCAGGACAGGCAACTGGCACCTGGCACCTTACTGCCACTGAATCTGCCCTTCATACCATAGGAACTCATAACCAATCCTATCCATGCAAAAACTTTAAAGAAACCATCACAGAAAGTTGGTCTGCTGGCACGTCACCTGTTTGTAGGTCTGCCTCTTATAGCTACTCGTTGCCACTGTCATATGGCTTGGTTGGGGCACAGAATATTCCATACCAAGGAGAATCAGGGCGATGGAGAGAGGGAATGGGGGATATATGCGGTATTGACTAGTCATTGACATGTCATTTTTTATCACCCCACCATCTAATAGATGGTGGGTTATTCAAATCGCCCTGCGTCCATGGTCCGTGGTCCGTCCGTCCGTCCGTAAACAATTCTTGTTACCGCTATTTCTGGAAAAGTACTGGATGGATCTTTCTCAAATTTCATATGCAGGTTCCCCTTGGTCCCTAGTTGTGCATTGTACCTTTTTTGAACTGATTCGCATTCAAGATGGCGGACAGGTGGCCATCTTGGATTTTGGAAGTAAAAGTTTGTTACAGCTATTTCTGGGAAAGTACAGGATGGATCTTTCTCAAATTTCATATGCAGTTTCCCCTTGGTCCTTAGTTGTGCATTGTACCTTTTTTGAACTGATTCGCATTCAAGATGGCGGACAGGTGGCCATCTTGGATTTTGGAAGTAAAAGTTTGTTACAGCTGTTTCTGGGAAAGTACAGGATGGATCTTTCTCAAATTTCATATGCAGTTTCCCCTTGGTCCTTAGTTGTGCATTGTACCTTTTTTGGACTGATTCGAATTCAAGATGGCCGACAGGTGGCCATCTTGGATTTTGGAAGTAAAAGTTTGTTACCGTTATTTCTGAGAAAGTACTGGATGGATCTTCCTCAAATTTCATATGCAGTTTCCCCTTGGTGCCTAGTTGTGCATTGTACCTTTTTTGGACTAATTCGAATTCAAGATGGCCGACAGGCAGCCATCTTGGATTTTGGAAGTAAAAGTTTGTTACTGCTATTTCTGGAAAAGTACTGGATGGATCTTTCTCAAATTTCATATGCAGGTTCCCCTTGGTCCCTAGTTGTGCATTGTACCTTTTTTGAACTGATTCGCATTCAAGATGGCGGACAGGTGGCCATCTTGGATTTTGGAAGTAAAAGTTTGTTACCGCTATTTCTGAGAAAGTACTGGATGGATCTTCCTCAATGAACATTTACAACACCTGTAACAAACCAAAAAAAAATAAACAAATCTTCAAGAACTGAAAACAGATCCTCAAATGGTGGGCGCCAAGATCCCTCTGGGATCTCTTGTTTCAGATTATACAGAGTTCCCTTCAAATTCTCTTCAATTACTCCTAAATCACTTACCAGATACAAATCATTGAATTTGTAGTTTGTTCTGAATGAATTAATCATCATTCTTACTTAAAGATATTGAACATTTTACTCAATGTCTTGCCATCTTTATCCCCTGAGTATAGTTTTGTTTTAGGTACTCTTTATCAAGTCTGAAATTGATGACTGTAATTTTATTTCAAATTTGAGCAAACCTCTGTCTTGAGACACATTGAAGTGATTTGTGGCCACATATGGTTAGTGATAAAGCTGTCTTTGCTTTTAGATCATTAACATCACTGCTCTGTTAAAATACATTTGTAAAAATTTCAGATTCGGGGCCTTTCCACTCCAACACCCAATGCTCGACAAATACACATTGCCTATCACAACGGTGATCACTACTCCAGTGTGAGACGTGTCAGCGACAACACAGAATCTCCTGCCAACATCAGACTCAAGGTCAGTACTGAAATCACTAGACCAAAACACTCAAAGTCAGTTCCTTATCACACTTCTGAAAGACAAATTTGTTTTTGTTGCGACAATGAAATCCTTAATCAAAATACTGAAGGTCTGAAATCAAAGTACAGAATTTTTGTTCCTCATCATAAATTTAGAGATTTTTCAGGTTCTATATTGTTTTAGTACTTTGTGATTGCAATTCACTGCAAAACATATAAACAAAAAATGAACAAGTGATCCAGACTAACTGACAGCTGATGCAAACATATGATATGAAATTGTTCTGTGCAGGTCGACTGTAGTACTGATAACTCTGGACGACCCACAATGAAGATCAACACATCCTCTGCAATCAAAGGGCAGAAGACAGAGGCCAGAGGTCAAGGCATAGTATCAGCACTGAGGGATGAACAGAGTATTGAGCATGAAGTGATGGTCGCTACTGGTTGTGTGGTTGGTACTTTTGAAAGATATGACTAAGAAGTGTTTCCATTTAACCTAACTTTACATAGAAAGAATACTGCAGAAAATCTAAGTCAAACTCTGCTTCATTTTCCCTGCCTTAAGATTTTGAGAAATTATCCTTTAAGTTGAAAAAGGGATATATGAACTTAATAAATTCAATAAAGATTTACCGATTCCTCTTCCATACTATTCAATAAAGATTTACCGATTCCTCTTCCATAGTATTCAATAAAGATTTACCGATTCCTCTTCCATGCTATTCAATAAAGATTTACAGATTCCTCTTCCATACTATTCAATAAAGATTTACCGATTCCTCTTCCCGATTCCTCTTCCATGCTATTCAATAAAGATTTACAGATTCCTCTCCATACTATTCAATAAAGATTTACTATTCAATAAAGATTTACCGATTCCTCTTCCATACTATTCAATAAAGATTTACCGATTCCTCTTCCATAGTATTCAATAAAGATTTACCGATTCCTCTTCCATAGTATTCAATAAAGATTTACCGATTCCTCTTCCATACTATTCAATAAAGATTTACCGATTCCTCTTCCATAGTATTCAATAAAGATTTACCGATTCCTCTTCCATAGTATTCAATAAAGATTTACCGATTCCTCTTCCATGCTATTCAATAAAGATTTACCAATTCCTCTTCCATAGTAGCTACGATATATATGCCTAGTTGAATTTTCAGTGGCAAAGTACTGAACATTATCTGGAATGTATATGTAATCACTGTTGAAACTATTTGTTATAAATGAACAAAGTATTTTACTAAGTTGTTTACTTTTAATTGCTGTGAAGGATGAAAAGCGGGTGACAGAGATGTTGATGGACTGTCAGTACGATGTGGACTTAGCCATCAGCCAACTTCTACAGCTGATTGAGATGGAAGGTATAGTGCCTTCGGCAACATCATGTCTTTGGTGAACTGCAGATCTGCATTACCTCCCCTTACCCTTTTTTTATACTTAGATCTAGTTAATGTGCATTGTGTAATTAATGTGTGTTATACATTGTATGCTTTAGTGTAATGTATGTATGTAGTGTAATGTGTGTGATGTAATATGTGTGTAGTGTTATGTATGAGTGTTGTATGTCATGTAATGTATGTGTGTAATGCATGTGTGTAGACTAATGTGTAGTTTAATGTGTCTGTGTAATGTGTGTAGAGCAATGTTTGTGTGTAGTTTAACAATATTATTATGTACATAATCTGTAAAACATACATGAAAACTTGTGTTTTAGCTTCAAAATTTTGAAGATTAAATGAAACATGAAAATGAACTGATGAGACATTTCCTCTTTAATTGTCACACAATATGGAAGGTGCCCATTAGAGAAGTAAATTTGAGTTCAGCCTGTTTCAAAATGATACAAGTATTTGCAAAATAGCTGTATATTCAGTGAAGGGAAATGGACAAAAGATTTTGACCTGCAGGTGGTTGTTGTTGTAATGTCTTGTTTTTCACATTGTCTGTATCATTGACCTCAATGCATAACTTTCTATAGGATTAAATTATTCATATAATCTGTTAAAATTTACATATTGTGAAAAGCATTTTATTTTGAATTGATAAAGCATATAAATAATTTATTAACACTGTGTTTTATTGCATTTACAAAGAATTTGGTTTTGCTGTCAGTGCAGGATTTATGTAATTCTGCCTCTGTGTCAAAAATAGCCAGTTATTCTAATATGTGGTATATTTGTAATCTGGAACCTAGGAGAATTGAGGGACTCATCCTCTGGACCTTCTGAGAGAACATCCACAGATAGCGGTGTGTCATCAGAGACCTTTACTCCTGTCCACTCACGTGACAACAGTTATGGAGGCAGCTCTGGATACGGCTCAATCAGCTCAGCAGGTGGGGCAAGGCCGAAGAGTAATAAGGTAGGTAACTCTGATAAATCTGTTACTTGTAACTGAGCAATATCGGGGTATCTCAGTCAAGGGCTAAGATCCTGTAACATAATCCCAACTGAGGTGTTAGCTGAGGTTAGGATGTTACAGGATCTTAGCCCGAGATTTAGATACCCAGATCTCCCTCAGTTACAGGTAATAGATTTTTTCATTCACACCTACTACTCTGAAAATTATTAAATATTTCATCAGAGTTTGGCGTATCCCGTGGGAGCCGCAAACTACCCACACAGCCTCTTCACTTTTAAACAACGTTTGGATAGTGCCAGATAAACAATGTAGGCTGCACTTGCAAAATACAACACATTTTATTATATCAACAACATCAGGAATATGATTAATTAAATAGAATATTGTTGAAATTTTAACAGTGACATAACCTACGTTTTTGTTGAAATGCATAGGTGTAGGTTTCACCTATGCCTACACCTGGATGAATACACTGATATGTTAAAATTTCCGGCAAAACACATGTATGGGTACTAAACAGATTGGGCAAAATAGAAAAATCTAGGATGGGGTATTACGTGGGATATCCCTGTCTGTGGTGCAAGAATTTTTTTATCTTGTACTTACTTGCACAACATAATGTAATATTTGAAGCATGAATTCTGATGGGTTGACACACATTGATACAACAAGCCTTCAAAGGATTTGTCAATGCTCTTTAGCAATCAAATTAGTTCAATATGTCCTTAAGTTTTTTCAGAAAAAAAACCAATCCTGGTCAAACAGATACTGTTAAAGAATTCTTTTAACTTATTTCAGAGCATAATAACTGTATCAAACAAACAAAAGAAGGAACAGAAGAAAATGGAAAAGAAAAAAAGAGCAGAAGAGCGTCACAGACAAAGAGTCCTCGGAATAAACCCTGCTTTGCCAGACTCAGAAGATGAAGGTGTTGTAACTGTGGTCTCCAAGGACATCGCCATGATGAAAATCTAATCATTTAAGGGATCTCTGAACATCTCCATGATGAAATTTAAAGACTTCAGTGGTCTCCAGTGAAATCACAATAATGAAAATATTATTATGTTGGCCAGATGAAAAGCTAAGGATTTTAAGAAATCTCAATAATCATATTTGCCTTCTTGATGGATATTAAATGCCATCTTGGATATTAAGGTACATCAACTGTCATCTCTGACACATGGCCACATCACATGTCATCTCTGATACCTGGTTACATCACCTGTCATCTCTGATACCTGGCCACATCACATGTCATCTCTGATACCTGGTTACATCACCTGTCATCTCTGATACCTGGCCACATCACATGTCATCCCTGATACCTGGCCACATTACCTGTCATCTCTGATACCTGGCCACATCACCTGTCAACTCTTGATACCTGGCCACATCACTTGTCATCTCTGATACCTGGGTACATCACATGTCATGTCTGATACCTGGCCACGTCACATGTCATCTCTGATACCTGGCCACATCACATGTCATCTCTGATACCTGGTCACACAACACCTGTCAACTCTTGATACCTGGCCACATCACATGTCATTTCTGATACCTGGGTACATCACATGTCATGTCTGATACCTGGCCACATCACATGTCATCTCTGATACCTGGCCACATCACATGTCATGTCTGATACCTGGCCACATCACATGTCATCTCTGATACCTGGCCACATCACATGTCATGTCTGATACCTGGCCACATCACATGTCATGTCTGATACCTGGCCACATCACAGGTCTTCTCTGATACTTGGACTTATCACATGTCATCTCTGTTATCTCTGGTACCTATAGGGACATCACTTGTCATTGCTGGTGTCTTAGAGACATCATTACCTGACATCTCTGATATATAGGGACATCACTTGTCATTGCTGGTGTCTAGAGACATCATTACCTGACATCTCTGATATAAAGGGACATCACTTGTCATTGCTGGTGTCTAGAGACATCATTACCTGACATCTCTGATATATAGGGACATCACTTGTCATTGCTGGTGTCTAGAGACATCATTACCTGACATCTCTGATATATAGGGACATCACTTGTCATTGCTGGTGTCTAGAGACATCATTACCTGACATCTCTGATATATAGGGACATCACATGTCATTGCTGGTGTCTAGAGACATCATTACCTGACATCTCTGATATATAGGGACATCACTTGTCATTGCTGGTGTCTAGAGACATCATTACCTGACATCTCTGATATATAGGGACATTACATGTCATTTCTGGTACGTATAGGGTTATTACCTCTCATCATTGGTATCTAGGGACGTGGCATGATATATTTGGTATCTAGGGACATCACATGATATATTTCGTATCTAGGGATGTCACATGATATATTTGATATCTAGGAATGTCACATGATATATTTCGTATCTAGGGATGTCACATGATATTATTTGGTATCTAGGGAGGTCACATGATGTATTTGGTATCTTGAGACTTCACATGATATATTTGGTATCTAGGGATGTCACATGATATATTTGGTATCTAGGGATGTCACATGATATATTTGGTATCTAGTAGTGTTGTTCCGATTAATCAATTTAATCGAGTATCACTTGTTTGAGATGTTTGATCAATCAATCGATTAAGAAATCTGTAATCGAGCATCGTGATGTATGAAAATAGATTATTTCAACATTGAACTTATTTTCAACATTAATAAGATTATTTTTTAAAAAACGACATTTGTTTATATTAAAAAGTATTCTGTGCAATAAACGAATAACAAGCACACAAAATGATGGTGTAGGTACAACAGTTTTAGTAATTACGTGAATTGCTGTTAAAACATAACACAAAATACGTATTTATACTTGAATAATATCCAAAAACAGACAATTAAGAATTAATCGATTTTAATCGATCATCGATCGGTTACACAAAGTTGATGATCGATCAGGAAATCTCAACCAATTCCCAACACTAGTATCTAGGGACATAGCAATGGTTGAAAACTTACACATGGATACTGTTACTGGTCTCTAGGCATTTCATAAACATTTGTCTCATGTTTATCCTCCATGAAAACTATGCAGATGCCAATTATTTGCTTCACATAATATTTTCATTCATTTTGATGTCCAGTTGAGAGAAGAATCTATCACTTATGGAAATATTTATTCCAGATTTTTTGGATCCATATAGTAATTACACACCAGTATACATGGTTTGATATACATGTATGTATTGATCACAAAATCAACCTCTTATCCAGTGTCTCTAATGTGATATACCCTGACCAGGTTAGTCAGAAATCAATCTCTGATGGACTGTGTCCTCAACATTTTCAGTTTTAATTTAAAAGCTGTCAAAATGTCTTTTTTTCTAGTTAAGTGAAAATTTATTTTTATTTCATCTCAGAGTTTTATTTTTTGTTCACCAAACTCGTAAAAATAAAATCTTCTAAGATTTGTATCTAAATTGAAATAGAATTATTTCACTTTAAAGTAGTTATATCATTGATGTTTTCACAATAAACAAGTTTGTGTGATGGTTAAGTGATATTCCTATTGTGACAGTTGTCAAAATATATTATTCTGCTGATGGCTCTCAGATCCCTGTCAATTTAACTGTCATCATAAAGTAGTGGTAGCTGAACTCTGTTCTACATAGCTACACTATACACCTGTGATATAGGTTGAGTGCTAACAATATTTCATGATAATTGTATAATGAGATTGTATCATTCCTGTGTAATTCTTAAGATATACAGTATTTTCATGTCAAAACTGTCCATGAGGTGTTTGAACCAGCTCAATGAACTTCGCAGGCAGCAAACTGTACATCGGGTTGCTTCCAATGCCTCAAGGAAATATTTTTTAACCGTAGGCTGATAAGAAACAACTGTATTGTTTCCAGACTCAAAATATTCAGATATAGGAAATTTAGGTAGATAAATGTATATCTGGATGAATGAATATCAAGAATAAGGAAAAAGCAATGTGTTGTTCGTTCACATTGGTAAACACAATCAGAAAGACTGCCTCTTGGTTTGAAAGCCAGGGTGCATTTGGATGTTCACCATCGGCCAATGGTGAAAACTGTTGACCAGTTTACAATTGTTTACTTGTAACCCTAACCCCAACCTTTCCTCCACACTACCATTGGTCACCAATTCTATCATCATTCTCTAGCATGTTCTGTATACTGCAGACTTACAGATGTTCATTATAAAGTCATTTATAGGAATCAGAATATTTGTAGTATGTATATAGACTTTTTGACATATTTGTATAAACTGTGATAGATATTTTACTTATTGTGTATGGCTCTGTTGTTGATATATAATTCTTACCTATGTATGATGGTCATATACTGAAGTGTATGAAGTATTATAGAAAATGCAGTATCTATATAATTTATTGAATTTTTTTTGCTCAGTTATTATCACATCCACAATCACATTATCTTCAAAATGGAATTTGTGAATTTTGCTTCTATATTATCGTTTCAGTGTGCAGTGAATGAGTTGATAAATTGATTTTTAGTTTACTAGGTACCAAAATTTTATAACATACAATCATTTTCATTAAGAAATCATGTCATTGTTTTGTTGAACATATAACAGAGAAACATGTATGTGGTGACAGAAATTGCTGACCAGGTTCTGTTAAACAGTTCATAATATGTAGGCCAGGAGGGTCAGAGTTATCTATTTTGAATGAAAGAAAAACAATTCTTCTACATTAATCTGTGCTGTTATTTTCAAATGGCTTTTACATGTGCTATGGTAGAAGATATTGTATATTATATCAGATGTGTCACATAAACAATGTATACACAGATCACAACAGATTGTACATATCAATGTTTGAACTCTTGTATACTTACTATTACTGTGGTATATATATTTGTCATATAAAGATTTCATCAGATTTGTTAAATATACAATGATATTTTGATATGTCATTAAAGTGAGTCAAATACAGTCAGACTTGAAAGCCACTTAAGCAGACAGTGACTTTAACATGTAGGTGGCTTCTATGAAGAGGTTCAATGACTATGAATTGTAGGTGGCCTCTATGAAGAGGTTCAATGACTATGAATTGTAGGTGGCCTCTATGAAGAGGTTCAATTACTATGAATTGTAGGTGGCCTCTATGAAGAGGTTCAATGACTATGAATTGTTAGTGGCCTCTATAAAGAGGTTCAATGACTATGAATTGTAGGTGACCTCTATGAAGAGGTTTGATGAATATGAATTGTAGGTGGCCTCTATGAAGAAGTTCAATGACTACGAATTGTAGGTGGCCTCTATGAAGAGGTTCAATGACTATGAATTGTCATGTATTCCATTGAGGTCTTTATAGACAATGACTTTTAATGTAGGTTGGACTGTATGTAATAGCAAATCAACTTACATTGCTTTTTTAGAAAATCTGCTCTGAAACAAATTACAGGATCTGTAGTTACAACCTAAAACTTGTGGTAACTTTTGCTTTAATATTTCCATACAATCAAGAACCAATGTCTAATGAGTTGTTTAATGCATAAAGTAGAAAAGAAAAACCAATTGATACTCACTATAAGATGGCAAATTTTATTTCTTCCTACACTATACAGAAATATAACATTTGTCTTTTTTACATGTAAATTCTTAGGTCGCTTTCATGTAACCAGTTGAAACTGTTAAAGAAGTTGAACCTGCAAGAAAAATGCCAGGCACAGATCGGGACCAAGGCAGGGCTGCAGAATATTTGGCATGTGCAGATTGAAGGGTCCTCTCTGAAACTAAATTGCAGAATATCATTAGTTTTTTTCAGAATTTCAGCATAAAATAGTGTTGGTGCACTCACATCTTTCCAGAAACATTATTCTATTAAGTATTAGTGAAATGGATGGTATCTTAATTTTAGTTAATTGTATTATGCTAGACAGGAATTCTAATACATTGCATTTGTAACTTTTCATATATCAGGTCCAGCATCCCGTACAAGCACGGTTGTTTATTGTGGAATAATTCCAAACTGCCTGAACAATTTTAATCTGATTATGCAAAAGCGGCCGTAGACTGCTTGGCTCTCTCCCTTGAACCTAGGATTTGTCTATCCTGAGATTAGTTATTTCCTTTGAACACATCAATTACATGTAGTATCCCCTATAGCTCCTGCATAAACTGTAAATGCATGATAGAAATCATACACCAGTAGATTTAACACTGAAGTAATTATTTTTCCTGCAGTGTAAATGTTTGTATAGTGTTACACTATAGTGCATAGTGTAAAGATCACCTGGCAGATATATGTATACTTTATTAAAGCTGATAAACTAGATTATCATGGAAAAATTTATGTATATGCACGATACATAATTACTTAAATAACACATTTTTTTTTTAACAATTAGTCCTTAAAATTTGGCATTATATGGAAACAAACATTTTTAATGAATTTTTAATTAGGCTTAATTACTCTGACATTCAATCAACTTACATGTATATATATATGATACTGATACGTAAAGGAAACAGAATGTCAGAATAACTCGAACCACATTTCTATTGTCTCTAGGTCACATTGGCCAGTAATACAATAATCAATTAACTGAGGGTTCATGAATGTTATTTGTCCTGCTTAAAGCAAATTATATTCATGATACATTAGACAGATGTAGAGAAATTGTTTTTGTACCCCAGGACTTTCATATAGAGGATGTTATTGTACAGTTCTACTGTTGACTGTTGATGTTATGTATGTATAATAATAGTTATAACATCGTTTATGTACCATATGAATTTTATACCTATTTTTCAATAAAGTTTATATTTCTTTTTCCAAATGTCTTTATTATAAGCTTTGTTGACATTCCACACATCCCTCTAAGATTGTATCAAGAACGTTTTGCTGATGTTTTATATAGCATTTTCAATATAATGCTGCTATGTAATACATGGTCAAGAAATAATCCACACTGTGTCCCATATTATCCTCATTGACTCTTATAAGGAAAACTTTTTTAGCATCACTTATATAACCATTTTTTGCAAAGTATCTTTCGCAATTTGCAAGCTAGTACAAAGACCATGAATTATTAACTGGGAGTACTTTACTGCATTTATTGGAACTGTGACTTTCATAACAGTAAAAGATTATTTTTTTTAATCAACCTTTTTCATGTATGTAATTTTCACCAACATAAAGGCACGATTTCTCCTTTCAAACAAAACATCATAACAATTTTTTCATTATCCGTATGTGAATTATTGATGCATATTGTTGAAAGTAAATGTTGAGTTTGTAAAAAGCAAATTTTTTTTCATAAATATTACGAATCATTTGGGACTGGAATCAGAATGAATGAGGAAAGGAATTTTTAACAGATGTATCTATAACAAGTCAGCTTACTGGAGGAGTGCTAAGTTGTATCTATAACAAGTCGGCTTACTGGAGGAGTGCTAAGTTGTATCTGTAACAAGTCGGCTTACTGGAGGAGTGCTAAGTTGTATCTATAACAAGTCGGCTTACTGGAGGAGTGCTAAGGTGTATCTATAACAAGTCAGCTTACTGGAGGAGTGCTAAGTTGTATCTATAACGGGTCGGCTTACTGGAGGAGTGCTTAGTTGTATCTGTAACAAGTCGGCTTACTGGAGGAGTGCTAAGTTGTATCTATAACAAGTCGGCTTACTGGAGGAGTGCTAAGGTGTATCTATAACAAGTCGGCTTACTGGAGGAGTGCTAAGTTGTATCTATAACAAGTCGGCTTACTGGAGGAGTGCTAAGTTGTATCTATAACAAGTCGGCTTACTGGAGGAGTGCTAAGTTGTATCTATAACAAGTCGGCTTACTGGAGGAGTGCTAAGTTGTATCTATAACAAGTCGGCTTACTGGAGGAGTGCTAAGTTGTATCTATAACAAGTCGGCTTACTGGAGGAGTGCTAAGGTGTATCTATAACAAGTCGGCTTACTGGAGGAGTGCTAAGTTGTATCTGTAACAAGTCGGCTTACTGGAGGAGTGCTAAGTTGTATCTGTAACAAGTCGGCTTACTGGAGGAGTGCTAAGTTGTATCTATAACAAGTCGGCTTACTGGAGGAGTGCTAAGGTGTATCTATAACAAGTCAGCTTACTGGAGGAGTGCTAAGTTGTATCTATAACAAGTCGGCTTACTGGAGGAGTGCTAAGGTGTATCTATAACAAGTCGGCTTACTGGAGGAGTGCTAAGTTGTATCTATAACAAGTCGGCTTACTGGAGGAGTGCTAAGTTGTATCTATAACAAGTCGGCTTACTGGAGGAGTGCTAAGTTGTATCTATAACAAGTCGGCTTACTGGAGGAGTGCTAAGTTGTATCTATAACAAGTCGGCTTACTGGAGGAGTGCTAAGGTGTATCTATAACAAGTCGGCTTACTGGAGGAGTGCTAAGTTGTATCTATAACAAGTCAGCTTACTGGAGGAGTGCTAAGTTGTATCTATAACAAGTCGGCTTACTGGAGGAGTGCTAAGTTGTATCTATAACAAGTCAGCTTACTGGAGGAGTGCTAAATTTGCAGTGGAAACTTTGGTCTCTATTGAGTCTGGCTCAAAGTAAGCATTTGGATAAAAAACAATGGATACTCACAATGATTCTTGATTTTTATTTACTCAAAACGATATCTGAAGACTAGATGCATATAAATATGAAATGTTATCAAAGATTCATAATAAGATTTCTATCACACCCAGATTATACACACTTATACATTGCATCACACTTGAACAAGCCAACATCTGTATAGAAAATTTAAGGTTTAGAAAAACCCTGATCTGACTTTATTGCAAAATATTATATCATTACAATGTATGAGTCAAACTGATATTCTATTCAAAATTAGATATTACTGCTATATATGTTTCTAACATGTTTAAGTAAAATAGTTGTATCAAAACGAGAATATCCCTGAAATACAGTCCAAAAAATTGATTTACTACACTGGTCTTTTTTATTCTGGTTTTGGTAGATTTAAATTCACAATTTATTCATTACAAAGATCCCTGGAAATAACTTTTAATCCATTCCAACCCAATGATCAGAAGTTATAGACTCTACCAAACTTAATCATTCATAAATAGATTAGTGAATTTAATTGCCAGTTAGATATCACAGGTTTTTATGTTAATACACATAGAGATGAAGTTTCTAGAATAAGTTTGTCTGTAGCATAATTCGAATGAATTCTGATTGGTCAACTTTTCCGTCACCATTCAGGTCTGCCTCTTCAATCATTTCTTCTAGCTCCTTCTGAGTAAATTTTATACCAGCATCCTCACATGCCAACTTCAAACCCTCCAAAGAAATGGCTCCTGTCTTTTCTGTCAAAGAAAATTTCAACAATTTGTCGTTAATATTAATATTGGACAGAAAAAATCATCAAAGGCCATATTTCTTAACACCTTCCATTACAGGACAGCTTTAAGATAAGATAATTAGATGTAACATCTTTCTTTCTTTTTCTTTTTTTTTAAATTTGTCATATTGGCTAATTATGATTAACATGAACTTTTGGGGATATTTTATATCCTTTTAAGACTAAATATGGTAGAGAACCAGTCGGTCTTACAATACACAGGTGCAATTGACATGATGGTTGATTTTAATTTAGCTTATACAAAGGTGTAATTGTTTTAAACTGGTAAAATAGTGTATTGCAGATGAAGTAATGATATAAGCTTGAATTAATCTATATTTTAATGACCACAGAACAATAGCAATCCCCAAAATAGGTAAAAAATATTCAAAATTTATGATGAAATTACACTCTGAGATTCAGGAATCAATATACATGCTATTGTGTTTTCCTGTCAACCCAAAGTGTGATAGGCTCAAATTTCCAGGTTAAATTAGTATTCTAAATTTCAAAGAAAATATTTTGGAGGTATTAATCTTGTGAGTTATGTCTAAGTTCTTTACCCAACAGTTTATCTTGCTACTGGAGTGCAATCAGTACAAGTTTCTATTGATAATTTATGGAAGTGTACATCATTTATTTGTTAATTAACCTACATTAACTAGTATATCTTTTTTTACTTTATAAACACGATTTATTATTTTTCTCTACTTTTTAATAATATTAAGATATCTAATGATAATAATTTACTTTATTTATTTTACAACAATTCTTTTCCAACTGATGTTAATCACTCTTGCTGGTCAGGATAGAAGCGTGCAATGGTTCTTTCTGTGGGTGGAAACCAGAGTACCCGGGGCAGGTGCCCCATACCTTTTCACATCCATTGAGGGAATCAAACCCCGGACAGCTTGGTGAAAGGCGAGTGTGTTACCACTGCACCACACGACCACAATATAGAAGATCTTGTAACACAACCAGTAGAAGGTTGATGTTTCGATGAATGCACTGTCGCCTTCAGACAATAATCAGACAAATGACCAGTGTGGAGTGTACTAGATCTGACATACACTATGGGTTAGCTTATTAACAAACATACAATGTTATCTGCTTATAGTTCATCAACATACCATAATCAAACATGTTGAAACCTTTGAGTATTTCATCATACATGTCTCTTGCATCACCCTGTCTGTCAATCACTGCCTCTAGAAACTCAGGGAAATCAATCATACTGAAAAGGATACAATGTACCATAAGTTCGGACAAGTAAAAAATGATGGATGAATATTTTATCAAAATATTACTGAAAAAAATGATGTATATCACATGTCCAGAAAATAAAGAAATACATTACAATCTTTCATCAAAAATCATAATACATACCATTTTACATACCAGTGAGCTTCTAATCTATGTCATAAGTTTTAAATAAATTGCCAATATATATACCCCTTTCTGTCATGTTACCTTTCTGTTACTTTTCATTGTTATGATATTAATGGTAAGTATGACAGAAGCTTAAGTCCAGACATGTCTACATCCACTCTTATTGCATATTGATGTTTTGTAATGCCATATGATGTTACCTGTTTTGTAAGAGAGTAGTTTTGCACAACATCCTGGTGTAAAGGAAACTTCTAAACAGTAGTTTTAATGTGTCCAGGTACATATGTATATATATGCAATAGTTTTATTTCTTTTGTTTTCTTCGTAATGGTGTAATGAATTTAGTGCAAAATAATCATTCTTATTAAAGAAAAATAGGATGACTATGCTCATTTGATCTCTTTAAAAGTATATTAGATTCCTCACTTTTTGCCATTTAGACTTGTGTCAGCTATCAACTGCTTTGCTTCCTCCCTCGAACACTTGAACCCTAAGGCTCTCATTGCACGGCGAAGTTCAGCAGACCCATGGTACCTATCAAAGATATTAAAAGTTCATTTGATTACTAATAAGCATAGACACTTGTCACAGTTTAAATGTCATCTTGAGTAACAAGCGTTTGTTTTAATCAAAACACAATACACAAAATAAACTGAAGTTGCATACGTTTTACAGACATTTTCTGGTAAAAGTTATCATTCCGAAAAAATAAATTATTTTACGTAAGGGATTTGGTCGATGTCAAATATTAATGATGGTGCTAGCCTGTTGTATACCCATATCAAAAGTAGATGAACATGATATATCCTTGGCACACTAGTTTCCAACCCCTTAAGAATCATTTCTCTCTAGCAATGCTATGTCGACGAATTGCCACCAAACAAATAAATAAATTAATTCAAATGTGTTCATATTCTAATATTCATTAAAAACTAAACGATGAAACACCAGTATTTTTCTAGAAAATATCCACAGATCCAATCTCAAATGCACTCACCTGAAATGACAGACATGTGTATCAGACATGTGTATCGGACATGTATCAGACAAGTGTATCAGCCATGTGTATCGGACATGTGTATCAGACATGTATCTCGGACAAGTGTATCAGACATGTGTATAAGACGTGTATATCAGACCTGTGTATAAGACATGTGTATCAGACGTGTATATCAGACATGTGTGTAAGACATGTGTATCGGACATGTATCAGACAAGTGTATAAGACATGTGTATCAGACATGTGTATCAGACGTGTATCAGACAAGTGAATCAGACATGTGTATAGGACATGTGTATCGGACATGTATATCAGACATGTGTATAAGACATGTGTATCAGACATGTGTATAAGACATGTGTATCAGACAAGTGTATCAGACATGTGTATAAGACATGTGTATCGGACAAGTGTATCAGACATGTGTATAAGACATGTGTATCGGACATGTATCGGACATGTATCAGACATGTGTATCAGACATGTGTATCGGACGTGTATCAGACATGTGTATCAGACATGTGTATCCGACGTGTATCAGACAAGTGTATAAGACATGTGTATCGGATATGTATCAGACATGTGTATCAGACAAGTGTATCAGACATGTGTATAAGACATGTGTATCGGACATGTATCAGACATGTGTATCAGACATGTATCGGACATGTATCAGACATGTGTATCAGACATGTGTATAAGACGTGTATCAGACATGTGTATAAGACGTGTATCAGACATGTATCAGACATGTGTATCAGATATGTGTATCAGACATGTGTATTGGACAAGTATCAGATGTGTATAAGACTTGTGTATCAGACATGTGTATTTGACAAGTATCAGAAGTGTATAAGACATTTGTATCAGACATGTGTATCAGACATGTGTATCGGACGTGTATCAGACAAGTGTATCAGACAAGTGTATCAGACATGTGTATAAGACATGTGTATCGGACATGTATCAGACATGTATCAGACATGTGTATCAGACATGTATCGGACATGTATCAGACATGTGTATCAGACATGTGTATAAGACGTGTATCACACATGTATCAGACATGTGTATCAGACATGTGTATAAGACGTGTATCACACATGTATCAGACATGTGTATCAGATATGTGTATCAGACATGTGTATTGGACAAGTATCAGACGTGTATAAGACATGTGTATTGGACAAGTATCAGACATGTGTATCAGACATGTGTATGGGATGTGTATCGGACATTTGTATCAGACATGTGTATCAGATATGTGTATCAGACATTTGTATCAGACATGTGTATAAGATGTGTATCAGACATGTGTATCAAACAAGTGTATCAAACATTTGTATCAGACATGTATCAGACATGTGTATCAGACATGTGTATAAGACGTGTATATCAGACCTGTGTATAAGACGTGTATCGGACATGAATCAGACATGTGTATCAGACATGTGTATAAGACATGTGTATCAGACATGTATATCAGACATGTGTGTAAGACATGTGTATCGGACGTGTATCAGACAAGTGTATAAGACATGTGTATCAGACATGTGTATAAGACATGTGTATCAGACATGTATATCAGACCTGTGTATAAGACATGTGTATCGGACATGTATCAGACATGTGTGTAAGACATGTGTATCGGACGTGTATCAGACAAGTGTATAAGACATGTGTATCAGACATGTGTATCAGATGTGTATCAGACAAGTGAATCAGACATGTGTATAGGACATGTGTATCGGACATGTGTATAAGACATGTGTATCAGACATGTGTATAAGACATGTGTATCAGACATGTGTATAGGACATGTGTATCGGACATGTATATCAGACATGTGTATAAGACATGTGTATCAGACATGTGTATAAGACATGTGTATCAGACAAGTGTATCAGACATGTGTATAAGACATGTGTATCGGACAAGTGTATCAGACATGTGTATAAGACATGTGTATCGGACATGTATCGGACATGTATCAGACATGTGTATCAGACATGTGTATCGGACGTGTATCAGACATGTGTATCAGACATGTGTATTGGACAAGTATCAGAAGTGTATAAGACATGTGTATCGGACGTGTATCAGACAAGTGTATCAGACATGTGTATAAGACATGTGTATCGGACATGTATCAGACATGTGTATCAGACATGTATCGGACATGTATCAGACATGTGTATCAGACATGTGTATAAGACGTGTATCAGACATGTGTATAAGACGTGTATCAGACATGTGTATAAGACGTGTATCAGACATGTATCAGACATGTGTATCAGATATGTGTATCAGACATGTGTATTGGACAAGTATCAGATGTGTATAAGACTTGTGTATCAGACATGTGTATTTGACAAGTATCAGAAGTGTATAAGACATTTGTATCAGACATGTGTATCAGACATGTGTATCGGACGTGTATCAGACAAGTGTATCAGACAAGTGTATCAGACATGTGTATAAGACATGTGTATCGGACATGTATCAGACATGTATCAGACATGTGTATCAGACATGTATGTCGGACATGTATCAGACATGTGTATCAGACATGTGTATAAGACGTGTATCACACATGTATCAGACATGTGTATCAGACATGTGTATAAGACGTGTATCACACATGTATCAGACATGTGTATCAGATATGTGTATCAGACATGTGTATTGTATCAGACGTGTATAAGACATGTGTATTGGACAAGTATCAGACATGTGTATCAGACATGTGTATGGGATGTGTATCGGACATTTGTATCAGACATGTGTATCAGATATGTGTATCAGACATTTGTATCAGACATGTGTATAAGATGTGTATCAGACATGTGTATCAAACAAGTGTATCAAACATTTGTATCAGACATGTATCAGACATGTGTATCAGACATGTGTATAAGACGTGTATATCAGACCTGTGTATAAGACATGTGTATCGGACATGTATCAGACATGTGTATCAGACATGTGTATAAGACATGTGTATCAGACATGTATATCAGACATGTGTGTAAGACATGTGTATCGGACGTGTATCAGACAAGTGTATAAGACATGTGTATCAGACATGTGTTTAAGACATGTGTATCAGACATGTATATCAGACCTGTGTATAAGACATGTGTGTAAGACATGTGTATCGGACGTGTATCAGACAAGTGTATAAGACATGTGTATCAGACATGTGTATCAGATGTGTATCAGACAAGTGAATCAGACATGTGTATAGGACATGTGTATCGGACATGTGTATAAGACATGTGTATCAGACATGTGTATAAGACATGTGTATCAGACATGTGTATAAGACATGTGTATCGGACATGTATCGGACATGTATCAGACATGTGTATCAGACATGTGTATCGGACGTGTATCAGACATGTGTATCAGACATGTGTATCAGACATGTGTATCGGACGTGTATAAGACATGTGTATCGGATATGTATCAGACATGTGTATCAGAAATGTGTATCAGACAAGTGTATCAGACATGTGTATAAGACATGTGTATCGGACATGTATCAGACATGTGTATCAGACATGTATCGGACATGTATCAGACAAGTGTATCAGACATGTGTATAAGACGTGTATCAGACATGTATCAGACATGTGTATCAGATATGTGTATCAGACATGTGTATTGGACAAGTATCAGAAGTGTATAAGACATTTGTATCAGACATGTGTATCAGACATGTATAAGACATTTGTATCAGACATGTGTATTGGACAAGTATCAGAAGTGTATCAGACATGTGTATAAGACATGTGTATCGGATATGTATCAGACATGTGTATCAGAAATGTCTATCAGACAAGTGTATCAGACATGTGTATAAGACATGTGTATCGGACATGTATCAAACATGTATCAGACATGTGTATCAGACATGTATCAGACATGTGTATCAGACATGTGTATAAGACGTGTATCACACATGTATCAGACATGTGTATCAGATATGTGTATCAGACATGTGTATTGGACAAGTATCAGACGTGTATAAGACTTGTGTATCAGACATGTGTATTTGACAAGTATCAGAAGTGTATAAGACATTTGTATCAGACATGTGTATCAGACATGTGTATCGGACGTGTATCAGACATGTGTATAAGACATGTGTATTGGACAAGTATCAGACATGTGTATCAGACATGTGTATGGGATGTGTATCAGACATTTGTATCAGACATGTGTATCAGACATGTGTATAAGATGTGTATCAGATATGTGTATCAGACATTTGTATAAAATGTGTATCAGACATGTGTATCAAACAAGTGTATCAAACATTTGTATCAGACATGTATCAGACATGTGTATCAGACATGTGTATAGGACATGTATCAGAAAAGTGTATCGGACATGTGTATCAGACATGTGTATCGGACATGTGTATCAGACTTGTATCAACACTGCGTTTCTGTTTATGATGACATCATTGAACCATTGAGATGATCAAGGGTTCTATTTTCACAAGAACAGGAAGCTACTTTTTCTGGACATATCAACATTATGGCCAAGTTAGGTTATGGATATCCCAGAATGGAAACCATTAACTTGGCAACTGCTTATGCAATTCATTTGGAACTTCACTCAAAGGACAATTCTTCAAGTCTGCAGTGGCTTCATAACTTCTCAGACAGATGGCCAGAGTTAAACTTGAGAAAGCCCAGAAGACTGCAGACAACCAGAGCGAAGTGTGCCACGAGACTTGTCATTGAGAGATATCTTAAGGAGCTTGGTAACATTCTAGAGAAACACAACTTTCAGGAAAGACCACATGCTATTTATAATCTAGGTGAGAAAGGGCTTTCAACAGACTGCAAACCTCCAAAAATTGTTTAAGGAGCCACTAATAAGCCCCAGGCTGTCACATCAGGAAAGTTCCAAACTATATCAGTTATTGGGGGAGGCAATGCTTCTGGAAATCAGGTCCATCATTCTTCATCTTTCCCGGAAAAACATACATGTATGCTGGATGGTCTGATGGAAGGATTTTTGCCCAGTGGAAATGAAACACCTTCCTTACATCTAAATTTGTATAGTTGGGTGAATGCGTAGATTGTTGACTTGTTAAGGTTTGAATTTAGTTTTTGTGCTATCCTTATGGGCCACCGTAGCGTTAATGGATGACCCTTGAATTCTGATGACGAAGCACACATGCACACAAGGTAAGCAGACGCCATGTTTTTCTATATTTTGCTTGGTGCATTTGTAGAAGTCTATCATTCTTTTTACAGAATTAGTGCATGAACAGTGAAGAACATTGCCTGTAAGCATTGGAATAAAATTATTTGAAGTTATCCGTAAGTAGCGATTTTTTTCCTACACCGTCAAAATCCGATGACACAGGGGTATACCCCCAGAGTAGACTTACCCATCACTGTTATTATCAAACAATTCAAACACCATCAACAGATCTCGGATCTCCTGAGGAGTCAGTTGTTTAAGTATTCTGTTGGTCACTTTGTAGCCATGAATTTCCTTTTCATCAACTGGATTCTTCTTCAAAAGTTCCACAAGCTGTGTAAATAAGATATGTTTAGGTTATTCAGTTATGGGCTTGAAAGTCATGTATTGTATTGATATATAACAAACATTAGGTACGTGAGTGAGAAAAATCGCTAGATGTCAGTCCCTCTCTAAACGACTCAATCATACAAACGACTCACGAACTATTACCACACACTGACAGAGTGAACATCAAAACAATAAAAATGTATACCCTTTCGCCTGGTCGAGGTGGGGGTTGTACAAACAGCGGAGCCATTGGGTCTGCTTTCGCAGGTTTTGATCCTTCCTTTGAAGAGGATTTACCCTTTTTCTTCCCTCCTTTCTTCGACTTTCCCGATTTCCCCTTTTTCTTCGGCATGTTTTCTGTGTAATCACTAAACACTACTCTAACATCCGGATAAGTAATTGGCTCCAGTTAAGTGTCCGCCATTTTGACGCTTCAGTTGTTGCTGTGTGACGTAGCTAGTTGTCCAGAATTTGATTGGCCGTAATATGCGTAAAGGGACGTAACTGTATCGGTAGACAAAAATTGTGAAAAGTGGTTTATGACTTTTTTAAGAGAGAGAGAGATTTGCGTTTGCGTCTACTGCCTCTTAGCTTTTCAACTCCATATCAGTCAATTCAAAGAATTTTTAATTCATAGCTGTATTTTTTCCTCTGCCTCACAGGTATTTCATAATAACACACCAATTATTTGTAACTATAAAGTATAAGACACAATCTAACTGATATTACATACTTATACTGTTCAATAACATTTTAGATACCCAAATGACAGACTTGGATCTATACCTAAGTCAGTAACAATAACTGATTCAACATTCTTATCATTCCATATGCCTATTTAGAAACTCCCCGAATTCAGAGTAGAAACACAATTTACAGCTTTTCACAACGACGCATTGGGTATTTATATTCTTCTGCCTATCTCTCCGATCCGCTTCTGCTCTTAACTGATTGTCCCCTCTGTTCTGCTTGCTATGGTATAGGAATCCATTCTATATAAATCGGCTGACGGTTGGTTTTGACGATGTCATCAAGTTTTCGTCTGTACCGTTGAGTTTATACATCTTTTTTTCACAGCGGAATATGACTTGTGTGAGGTGTATAGCGTGATTCGTCGTGTATGGTTAGTATTTTGTATGCAATAACATAATTATTAGGGTTTTTTTATGAAATATTACTATTTTACTGAAAAAAACATAAAATTATTACATTTCTTTAAATTATCATATTTTCTATTAGCAAAATTTACATTTTTCACTTACACAATTACATTTTTTTTTCAAAATATGTAATGATGACAATAAAGAAATCAAATTTATGCTGCTGTTTGCGACTGTTTTGTTGTTTTTTGCTGTTGTTTTTTCACCGTTGTTTTCTGCTGGTTTTTGTACTGTTTGCTGCTCTTTTGCTGTTGTTTGCTACTGTTTTGTTGCTGCTGTTTGCCGTTGTTTACTTATTTATGCTACTATTACCGGGTTTTGTGTGATTTTTTTTTTAAATGAATCTGAAATTATAGATGAAAGACAGCTGTTTAGATTACGTGTGGTTTATTTAATGTCCAAGTTCAGAGTCATAATACACAATACATTTCAATAACAAAACACATTATAATTAATATTGATATACAGATACAGAGTTACAATCATATAAAATTGAACTACATTATAAGGGTTTAATTTAAGGGAAAATGTATTGTTTATGTTATTTATGACATTGTGAAAATATGGGGAAAATTAGCAAGTGATATCTAATGTTTAGCAGTGAGAAGTCAACACAACCTGAGAATATGGCTCATCATACAAATGTACCAGCTGTATGTAGTTAACAGTTAGAATTGAAACTGGTAATTAAAACAAAATATACAAGTTAATTGACTAGGACTACTGGGAACATAAAAGTTATTTACATAAAAAAAGGGAAAATAATCATGAGCAATCATAGGCTTGACTCAGTATTGAGTTTAATATTCACTTGTTTACATTAGCAAATTCTACCTTCAGTTTACAGGGATTACTTCCAGTTGTGTTGGTCACTTCCTGTCAGCAACGTATAATTATAATCTGACACACTACCAGATAAATAATGAAGAATGTGATTACAAGATAAATTGCCTATGCTCAGATTAATAGACACATATGCTATAATCAAAAACTAAATATATACAGTTAACGGCAAGTAATATACAATACAAAATAATGTGTGCGCATTCTGAATTTACACTAGTTTTTCAGATACTCATGATTGCAGCGATGTACAATAGATACAACATATCGCAAATTGAACACATTATCACATGAAAAATGCAATTACAATAAAACAATTATAAAATGAAAATTGATACGAATACGAGAGAACATCCATCAAATTCAAATGTGAAAATACATAATTAAAAAAATGTAAAGTTTCTTACCTGAAATTATAGATGAAAGACAGCTGTTTAGATTACGTGTGGTTAATTTAATGTCCAAGTTCAGAGTGAAGTCTTGGGCATCAGTACAGATAATCTAAACAGGCTGTCCGGAGCAATCTGCATTTTGATTGGCTAATTAGCTGTCCACCTCTGTCTTGATTGGTTAAAAGCTATCGAACTCTAGCGTGGGTTAAGAACAAAGAAATAAATTTGTGGACAGGTACGCGAAGCGTTTACGTAATGTAGATTATCGCTAATTGTCACTTAATACGTTAACAATAACTGACACGGCTGTCAGACAAATAACTGACCAGGTAAGTTCACAGGTGAGTTGTAAATGTCATTATCTGACTGACTAATCTAAATTAAAATTAAAAATAATTTAAATCAAACGGAGACAAACTTTGTGAAATTTGAGAAAATATATCGAAAATACATCTTTAAGAAAATAGCGAGATTTTCACTATGAAATATCCCTATTGGTCGGAAAAATCTTTGTCCTCAAAGATAAAAGTAACTTAATCAGTTATTGTAAATCTATCCGGCTACAAGCAATACAGAAATATGCATTTCTAGATTGGTAACAACATCTGTGCTAGTATGAATTATCTCATAAAGGGAGGTAATTCAGGAAATGCAAAAAATAAAAATCAAGGGAGATAATCAGTAGGAAACATAGAACACTGCCTTTGTTGCATTTATAAGCAAATTAATTCAATAGAGTGAACAATGGGTAAAAATGAACTTAAATTCTGTACCACATAAATCATCATGTTACAAAATATTAGTAAATATTGACATACACCCATATAAAAATAAAATAAGCAAAAACTTTTATACATAAAATCATGAAATGCATATCTCTTTTGAGATAAAATCCAGCCTACACATACTGATACTGACATGATGAGTGGACATCAGTGTTGCTGCATTTTAATATGGTAAACATTCATAATGAATTGAATAAACATAATAATAAAACATCAATGAAAAATTGAAATACAAATAACATATTACAAGTACCAAAACGCACAATGTTGTAAGTCATGACACTAAAAAGTTCGCTTGGAGAATAGTTTGTAAGTCAAACTAAAGTGGATGGAAATAACCATGATGACATACCAAAGTGTATGCTGCATAAGGCTGATTTAAAAGTTTCCTAATAGAATGTGCCTGTCTAGGAGACAAACGAAACTTATTTGTCGGGTAAATTCTGTGTTTGCTCTTATTGTTAATGATAGAAAATTCTGACCAGTCCACACTAAGTACTGGGAAGATCCTGCCAAACACTTGGATATTATTGATATCTATTGGGGGAGATATAGTCCAGTTATCAGGACATAAAGGTAATGACGCTACACGGACTAGTTCACAAGCAGTGCCAGTGGTAAGTTCAAGAAAAATTGCAGTTTTGTTGTTGTGAAAAATTCACAGTAAATTGATGTCAGGATGAAAATGGTAGTTAAAAGTGACAGTGTGACATAGGGCCATGGTGTCATCAGTGAGTTGTACACATTTTCTGTAATGGTGTAAGATGTGGTTGGGTCAGGAAGACATTGAAAATGAAAACTAGGAATGTTAGGTGAGACTGTAAAAGCTTGAACTGTGTGAGACTTTTGAACAAGTAACAACATGGTCGATATTTTCCTCAATTTTGAATACATACAGAAGACTAAAATAATTGCTATACCTGCTGTACCTGTTCCTATTAATGCAATTACACCACTTGTATCTGGCCATGATCCTGAAGTAAATGGAATTTGTCCTTCTAACATTGATTTAGCTAGTGACTTAAATGCAACTTCACCATTTTTAGCTGATTTGACAATTTTCTTTAACCTCAAATGATACTTCTGATCAATAGCTAATTTTTCAGAAAATGAATGGTTATAGATTCTTAAGTTTGGGAGTTTAATATGGACAAAATCTGGATATGATGTGTCACCAAAAATTGAAGCATGTTGTTGATCAGGGAAAAATTCCTGAAGAAGAGCCAAGTTGACTTGGTGAATGACTGAAATGTCAATGGAATCATTCTTACACTGACCTAAACGTGGAGGAACAAAAAGATTTCCTGCTGTTACTGTGCATAGGCATGGTACACTGACCACACAAAAAGGACATCCTTTTATGATCTTCTGACCATTTGGACAATCTAGTGCTAACATAGGTATTTGATACGTGAGTAAAGTAGAGGGAGCTAACTCTGTAATGGATAATGACAATATATCTGGTAAAAATCGAAAATCACAGTTGTCTTTTACTGACTGTTTCTGGTTGTAGAAAATAGCTGATATGCAGTTAGATTTTGCAACTGAAGACAGAGCTACCTGGAACTTACAATATAAAATATTTGTTCCTGTCTTGTAATTGTTTGTGAGACAGTGTAGAAAGTGTTGATTGTCACCGGAATGGACAAAGTAATCAGGGACATCTAACAACTGTGTGGCATGAGTGGATGTTGCATTGAGTGGGACAGGTGCAGAATACACTTTATACACAAGCAGAGGTTGTATAAATGATGAAATAGGTATCTTTAAGAGTAAATACAACATAGAATGATGTCTGGCATACACAAAGTTAGCATAATGATAGTAATATAATGGGTCTTTATGAATTATGCTAAATCCACTATATTTGGAAGAAATAATACTTTGAACCTCTTTCAAAGTTGACCTCATAATTTCAGGAGACAGAAGAAAGGGAGATAATTTGCCTTTTGCTAAATCATGAATTGCTAACTTAGCATGTTCCAAATGTTTGTCTAGTGTTGAGGTAGCATTGATTTGAGACAACATTAGGTTCTCTAAAAGTACAAATTCATGTTCAATGCCATCTAAAGAAGCATAAAATTGTTTTGATAATGTGACGGTTTGGTCATGATTGCTTTTTACCACTTCAACAATGTTATTACGACGTTTATCCACTGTAGACATGAAAGA